CTGTACTTTCTACTTCTCACATGTTGAACTCAAATACCTGTACTTTCTACTTCTTACATGTTGAACTCAAATACCTGTACTTTCTACTTCTCACATGTTGAACCAAATACCTGTACTTTCTACTTCTTACATGTTGAACTCAAATACCTGTACTTTCTACTTCTCACATGTTGAACTCAAATACCTGTACTTTCTACTTCTTACATGTTGAACTCAAATACCTGTACTTTCTACTTCTTACATGTTGAACTCAAATACCTGTACTTTCTACTTCTCACATGTTGAACTCAAATACCTGTACTTTCTACTTCTTACATGTTGAACTCAATACCTGTACTTTCTACTTCTTACATGTTGAACTCAATACCTGTACTTTCTACTTCTCACATGTTGAACTCAAATACCTGTACTTTCTACTTCTTACATGTTGAACTCAAATACCTGTACTTTCTACTTCTCACATGTTGAACTCAAATACCTGTACTTTCTACTTCTTACATGTTGAACTCAAATACCTGTACTTTCTACTTCTCACATGTTGAACACTAATACCTGTACTTTCTACTTCTCACATGTTGAACACAAATACCTGTACTTTCTACTTCTCACATGTTGAACTCAAATACTTGTACTTTCTACTTCTTACATGTTGAACACTAATACCTGTACTTTCTACTTCTCACATGTTGAACACAAATACCTGTACTTTCTACTTCTTACATGTTGAACTCAAATACCTGTACTTTCTACTTCTTACATGTTGAACACAATACCTGTACTTCTACTTCTTACATGGTTGAACTCAAATACCTGTACTTTCTACTTCTTACATGTTGAACCCAAATACCTGTACTTTCTACTTCTTACATGTTGAACTCAAATACCTGTACTTTCTACTTCTTACATGTTGAACTGAAATACCTGTACTTTCTACTTCTTACATGTTGAACTCAAATACCTGTACTTTCTACTTCTTACATGTTGAACTCAAATACCTGTACTTTCTACTTCTTACATGTTGAACTCAAATACCTGTACTTTCTACTTCTTACATGTTGAACTCAAATACCTGTACTTTCTACTTCTTACATGTTGAACTCAAATACCTGTACTTTCTACTTCTTACATGTTGAACCCAAATACCAGTACTCTCTACTCCTCACATGTTGAACCCAAATACCTGTACTTTCTACTTCTCACATGTTGAACACAAATACCTGTACTTTCTACTTCTCACATGTTGAACACAAATACTTGTACTTTCTACTTCTTACATGTTGAACCCAAATACATGTACTTTCTACTTCTCACATGTTGAACACAAATACCTGTACTTTCTACTTCTCTCATGTTGAACTCAAATACCTGTACTTTCTACTTCTTACATGTTGAACCCAAATACCTGTACTTTCTACTTCTCACATGTTGAACTCAAATACCTGTACTTTCTACTTCTTACATGTTGAACCCAAATACATGTACTTTCTACTTCTCACATGTTGAACACAAATACCTGTACTTTCTACTTCTCACATGTTGAACACAAATACTTGTACTTTCTACTTCTTACATGTTGAACCCAAATACATGTACTTTCTACTTCTCACATGTTGAACACAAATACCTGTACTTTCTACTTCTCTCATGTTGAACTCAAATACCTGTACTTTCTACTTCTTACATGTTGAACCCAAATACCTGTACTTTCTACTTCTCACATGTTGAACTCAAATACCTGTACTTTCTACTTCTTACATGTTGAACCCAAATACCTGTACTTTCTACTTCTTACATGTTTAACCCAAATACCTGTACTTTCTACTTCTCTCATGTTGAACTCAAATACCTGTACTTTCTACTTCTCACATGTTGAACTCAAATACCTGTACTTTCTACTTCTCACATGTTGAACTCAAATACCTGTACTTTCTACTTCTTACATGTTGAACTCAAATACTTGTACTTTCTACTTCTCTCATGTTGAACTCAAATACCTGTACTTTCTACTTCTTACATTTTGAACTCAAATACCTGTACTTTCTACTTCTTACATGTTGAACTCAAATACCTGTACTTTCTACTTCTCACATGTTGAACTCAAATACCTGTACTTTCTACTTCTCACATGTTGAACTCAAATACCTGTACTTTCTACTTCTCACATGTTGAACTCAAATACCTGTACTTTCTACTTCTCACATGTTGAACTCAATACCTGTACTTTCTACTTCTTACATGTTGAACTCAAATACTTGTACTTTCTACTTCTCTCATGTTGAACTCAAATACTGTACTTTCTACTTCTTACATGTTGAACTCAAATACCTGTACTTTCTACTTCTTACATGTTGAACACAATACCTGTACTTTCTACTTCTTACATGTTGAACTCAATACTTGTACTTTCTACTTCTCTCATGTTGAACTCAAATACCTGTACTTTCTACTTCTCACATGTTGAACTCAAATACCTGTACTTTCTACTTCTTACATGTTGAACTCAAATACCTGTACTTTCTACTTCTTACATGTTGAACTCAAATACCTGTACTTTCTACTTCTTACATGTTGAACACAAATACCTGTACTTTCTACTTCTCACATGTTGAACTCAAATACTTGTACTTTTTACTTCTCACATGTTGAACTCAAATACCTGTACTTTCTACTTCTCACATGTTGAACTCAAATACCTGTACTTTCTACTTCTCACATGTTGAACACAAATACTTGTACTTTCTACTTCTTACATGTTGAACACAAATACCTGTACTTTCTACTTCTTACATGTTGAACACAAATACCTGTACTTTCTACTTCTTACATGTTGAACTCAAATACCTGTACTTTCTACTTCTTACATGTTGAACCCAAATACCTGTACTTTCTACTTCTTACATGTTGAACCCAAATACCTGTACTTTCTACTTCTTACATGTTGAACCCAAATACCTGTACTTTCTACTTCTTACATGTTGAACACAAATACCTGAACTTTCTACTTCTTACATTTTGAACACAAATACCTGTACTTTCTACTTCTCTCATGTTGAACTCAAATACCTGAACTTTCTACTTCTTACATGTTGAACTCAAATACCTGTACTTTCTACTTCTTACATTTTGAACACAAATACCTGTACTTTCTACTTCTCTCATGTTGAACTCAAATACCTGAACTTTCTACTTCTTACATGTTGAACCCAAATACCTGTACTTTCTACTTCTCTCATGTTGAACTCAAATACCTGAACTTTCTACTTCTTACATGTTGAACCCAAATACCTGTACTTTCTACTTCTCTCATGTTGAACTCAAATACCTGTACTTTCTACTTCTTACATGTTGAACTCAAATACCTGTACTTTCTACTTCTCTCATGTTGAACCCAAATACCTGTACTTTCTACTTCTCTCATGTTGAACCCAAATACCTGTACTTTCTACTTCTCTCATGTTGAACCCAAATACCTGTACTTTCTACTTCTCTCATGTTGAACTCAAATACCTGTACTTTCTACTTCTCACATGTTGAACACAAATACCTGTACTTTCTACTTCTTACATGTTGAACTCAAATACCTGTACTTTCTACTTCTTACATGTTGAACTCAAATACTTGTACTTTCTACTTCTTACATGTTGAACTCAAATACCTGTACTTTCTACTTCTTACATGTTGAACTCAAATACCTGTACTTTCTACTTCTTACATGTTGAACTCAAATACCTGTACTTTCTACTTCTTACATGTTGAACTCAAATACCTGTACTTTCTACTTCTCTCATGTTGAACCCAAATACCTGTACTTTCTACTTCTCTCATGTTGAACTCAAATACCTGTACTTTCTACTTCTCACATGTTGAACTCAAATACCTGTACTTTCTACTTCTTACATGTTGAACTCAAATACCTGTACTTTCTACTTCTTACATGTTGAACTCAAATACCTGTACTTTCTACTTCTTACATGTTGAACCCAAATACCTGTACTTTCTACTTCTAACATGTTGAACTCAAATACCTGTACTTTCTACTTCTTACATGTTGAACTCAAATACCTGTACTTTCTACTTCTTACATGTTGAACTCAAATACCTGTACTTTCTACTTCTTACATGTTGAACTCAAATACCTGTACTTTCTACTTCTTACATGTTGAACTCAAATACCTGTACTTTCTACTTCTTACATGTTGAACTCAAATACTTGTACTTTCTACTTCTTACATGTTGAACTCAAATACCTGTACTTTCTACTCTACATGTTGAACTCAAATACCTGTACTTTCTACTTCTTACATGTTGAACTCAAATACCTGTACTTTCTACTTCTTACATGTTGAACTCAAATACCTGTACTTTCTACTTCTTACATGTTGAACTCAAATACCTGTACTTTCTACTTCTTACATGTTGAAAGTCAAATACCTGTACTTTCTACTTCTCACATGTTGAACTCAAATACCTGTACTTTCTACTTCTTACATGTTGAACTCAAATACCTGTACTTTCTACTTCTTACATGTTGAACTCAAATACTTGTACTTTCTACTTCTCTCATTTCCCAAACAGCTGGTTCCTTTAGTCTGAATGTGTGTTTGATGCGTGATCATTATTCTTTAGAGTCATTGCGTGCCTATTGATTTGAACACGATCCGTGTATCCATCATTTCCTGGTCTTCTCTAAAGAAGAGGGACCAATGGAAACGTTGTCTTGTTGCCGTTGTTCAGCATGGAAACATTCATTAGCTAACAATGACATCATTGTTCTATTAATATAAAGGGAGGTCAGGTACTCTTTAAAGCAGCTGCTAGTTATGGGTACTTTTTACTGAAGTACATTTCAAAGCCTCTTTACTTTGACTTGAGTAAAGAAGTTTAGTCAGTACTTCTACTTTTACCAGAGTATTTTTAAACACGAGTATCTGTACTTCTACTTGAGTAAAGGAAGTGTGTACTTTTGCCCTCTCTGGCTACATCTGCCATTTACCAGAACAAAACAGAAGACTAATGATGACACTGGATGCTGTACCTGCGGTGGTGGATTTGCCGACGCCACCTTTCCCTGAAGCCACCACGACGACCTGCTTGACCCCCGTGATGGGCTTCTGTTTGGGGAGACCTTTCGCCATCTGCTGCTTCTGCCTCTCCTGTAACGCCTTACTGTCCACCGCCCGCTGGGAGAGACACACACAGGTACACGGTGAGAATAACATACGATAATACTTTAGTGATCAGATCAAGTCTGAAATGCTCCTTGCATCCCAGCAGCTCCATGTGTAACATCAACACACAAACATCAAGACACAACACATGAGAAACAAACATTGAACATCACAGCAGGATCAGTGAGAGCTGCTCAAAGAGCCTTCAGCGTGCATCTGATCTGGACTCAGCTCTGTGTTTACTGACTGGAGCACAAAAGGATGCTTCAGGCTGACTTTAGTGTGTGTGTGTGTGCGTGTGTGTGTGTGTGTGTGTGTGTGTGTGTGTGTGTGTGTGTGTGTGTGTGTGTGGTGTGTGTGTGTGTGTGTGTGTGTGTGTGTGTGTGTGTGTGTGTGTGTGTGTGTGTTACTGAGAGGACTGACTGGAGCACAAAGGATGCTTCAGGCTGACTTTATTGAATCTCCATTAGCTGGTAGCAGTTCATATTCTCTGTCAGAGCATGCTTGGAGTCCCAGAGGATGCTGTTGGAGAGGTTATTAGGTTGTTATGATTTGCTGACATGAAGATAAAAAGGCGTCTATTCCAGATCTGGTTAGGAAAACTAGACACTTGAATCATCAGTTTATATGTTAATACTTTAATTAACTGCTCATGTTGTATTGCTAATGTTAAAGTATCATTATGGGATGTTTGTTTAAAAAGGATTTGAGCAGCAGTGATCAAGTCAGAATGAATACAAACATAATACATAAACACTTCCGGTTGTAAATATGTTCTACAGCGTTACAATGAATGAACATATCAAAGTAAAAGTGCATGACTTCTAATTAACATGTGTCAAACAATACATTCAATCAAATACAAATACACATTTGGTGACATTCAATCATATTTTTTTATTTTAAAAGCTTCCGGTCTTGTTCTTCGTGCTTTCTGTCTAGCTTGACGTTAGCATGTAGCCTTTAGCTAACGCAGCTAACACATCGATATAATTGACAGTAATCTTACCTGGCAGCGAGTGAACTGCACACAGCACGCAGGTCCCGGTTTTATCTCTGTCCCGGTTCGTGAAACGGTCAGTTTATTAGCGGATATTCTCAGAAAATGAGACAGTCGGCTGTAACTCAACTGAGACATGTTTAGCTGTTTCGATGCTACACAGCTAGCTAGCTTAGTGCGAGTCAAGCTTGCGGCAACTGCGCATGCGTGTTATGTGTGTAGTTTATTTCTTTGCTGATATTTTTATTAATGTTGACTTTTTCAATGTTCATATACAATGAATGTACTTCTCTGTAGTTGATGATACTTGCATTATCAATACATTAATCAGTTACGGAGTTGACAAATCTGATTTTCATTAAATAATCCATCCAATTTCAATATTATCTTAATCTTAATTTGATAATTTCACTATTGAAATGACATTCATACTTCGAACCGCTCTTCTTTAACTGCTGAATGTTTGCACAATATATATTTATCATCTATTATCTATTTGTCCTTTTACAGATATAAGCTTGCATCTGATTTGTTTACTATTTTTACATTGTTTTGTGTCCAGGTAAAAGTGAATTTAATAGGGTTTAATATGGTTTTACTTAAAAAACAGATAACGTAAAAATATCCAAATGATAAAATAACTAGGAGAGACGTCGAGAGAAAGAGGGTCATGAGAAATACAAAAACTGCAAAAAGAATGCGCAGCTTGGACCCGCTTTAGTGGACGTTTGCGCGGAAGCATGTTGCATGAGTTTCTGATGGTTTCTCGTTTCCATTCACTCGACACTTCTCTAGTTCTCTCAAGTCTATCATAATAATACAGTGTTTATATCCAGAGATGACGGAGGCACGCGCTGTTTCTGCTTCTGGAGGTCTCGCGCTGCTGCAGCAGTGTCTGCGGGCAAAACTGCAGGTGAAACCAGAAGAGGAGCAAGAAGAGGCTCAGTTTGTCCAGGTGAGCACAGGTGACAGGTGTGTGTTGGGATGTTCATCTGATTAGTTTAATTAATGCATTTGTAAAAGTAAAGGAAGGGAACATATGAGAAACAAACATGAAGCACATTAACCAAAGTCCCAGGGCAGAGAAGGGACTCAGATCTAGTACTTGAGTAAAAGTACTCAGATCTTCAGTAAAAGTAGAAGTACTCAGATATTGAGTAAAAGTAGAAGTACTCAGATCTTGAGTAAAAGTAGAAGTACTCAGATCTTGTACTTGAGTAAAAGTAGAAGTACTCAGATCTTGTACTTGAGTAAAAGTAGAAGTACTCAGATCGTGTACTTGAGTAAAAGTAGAAGTACTCAGATATTGTACTTGAGTAAAAGTAGAAGTACTCAGATCTTGTACTTGAGTAAAAGTAGAAGTACTCAGATCTTGTACTTGAGTAAAAGTAGAAGTACTCAGATCTTGTACTTGAGTAAAAGTAGAAGTACTCAGATACAAAGACCAAAGTTTAAGGGCAGACAAACGATTTATTTTAAATTCCATAAAGAAGGTTTTTAATTAGGATGCTTGCTACAGGTAGAGGTATAAAACAAGGAGATGAGAGAAAGTAAATATCCCTGCCGAATTCTGCATGAGCTAGAATAGATGATTTGGGCTGTGAATGGTTCGGGTGTAATAAAGAACCGGTGGTATTCCATAGTTAGAACAACAAATACATAAACAAGTGTAAGGCTGTCCATTGTTGACATTTAACAGCTGTGTCTTTCCTCTCTCCAGATCGACAGAGGAATGGTGATCTACATCTGCTTCTTTAAAGGAGCCACAGACGACATCCTGCCCAAAATGAGTGGGTGACATTTTAAACCTTTGACCCACATATGACACTAACATCATGCTTTATATTTGGTTCATTAGGCGCATTCACACCACAGTACTTTTCCCACAAAGGTTCATGAGAACTTAGTTCATCAGAACTCTTTAGTTCTCATGAAAGTACAGATCGCGTTCACACTGGAATAAGTCCCTGAGGGAGGATTAGGCAAATGAAGCCGCTGACCTCACTTCTTCTTCTTCTGCTTTGGGTTTACTGGCAGGCCGCAAACCACTTCACGGCGTATACTGCCACCCGAAGTCCCCGGCCGGAAGTCCCCGGAGTTGGGGAACGCTTCAGTAGAAGCGGCTGGGTCTCCCAGCAGCTTCTACTGAAGCCTTCAGAGTAAATTGCCAGAACGCCGACACCTCCTCATCTCCGCCGCTCCCATGTTTTATTTTGTGTTGCCATAAGTTAGTCTCTCTGCGTTTCTGCGCAGGGCTAATGCTAATGCTAATAATGCTAATGCGAGCAAATAAAATGGCGGCTTCACAAAACTTTTTTGGAGTTTTACGGGGCGTGGTTTGCAATCCGCCCAGCCAATCAGACATAGGAACCTTTTTCTCCCACGAAAGTCCCTGCTCTCTAGCAGGGACGGAAAAGGGGTAAAAAGGTTCTCATGAACTAATTTGAGTTCTGGCTCTTTTTGGTGTGAACGCAACATTTCGGAACTAAAGTGGGAAAAGTACTGCGGTGTGAACGCGCCTAATGTGCTTCATTATCTCATTCACATTGCACCACATGTCACCTGTGAGATGCTTTTTCCCAAAGCGACTAACACAGCCTCCCATCTCTGCACATCTGTATTTAGATCTGATATTATTCATATTTGTCTGTATGTTTTCTATTGATGGTTGACTTGTTTTTGTATCTTTTCTATCATTATACTGATTGTTATGCACCTAGATACCACGGAAAAGTCATTCTACGTGAACATCTAATTGGTTAAAACCCTGATTCAGATTCTAACCCTTCCTGCTCTGCACTTTCTCTATAAATCCCTTAATATATCAGGTGTAAATACTCTCCTCCCCCCCCAGTGTCCTCCCTCCTGAATCTGCGTCTGTGTGAGTCCGTCTCGGGAAAGATGGTGTCGGTGCTGGATCTCCCCGGCAGTGTGCTGATCGTCCCTCAGGCCACGCTGGGAGGAAAGGTCAAAGGTCGAGCCATGCAGTACCACAACAACATCGGCAAAGAGGACGGGAAGCGACTGTACGACGCCTTCGTGTCTCTGTGTGAGAAGGAAGTGACTTCAGAGGAAGTGACGGTGAAACACGGGACGTACGGAAACAGACAAGTGCTGAACATGGACACAAACGGACCGTACACTCACCTGATGGAGTTCTGAGGAAATGAAGCTTTGATTGTGACATTTAGAGCCTTAGTTAGTGTCTGAGTATCTACCAACAGGCTGGAACCAGTGGATGAGACTATATGGGTCGAGAGCGGCACAATAACTTGATCATCAGAAAAAAAAAGTGCTACTATTTTGTATATTGAGTGATGCAGTTGATGCAGAAAAATTGCATAAAATGCGGTTTTCTGCCTCAAATATGGACTTTCCCTGCTTGTCTCTGTTTGATGTTATAGTAAAAATGATTATGTAATGACTTGGAGATACTTGAATGGACATTTCACTGTTTTCTGACGTGTTTTAGGACAAACAATGAATCTAGAGACTGATCTCAGATAATACAAAATAATTGTTAGTTTCAGCGCTATGTGTATTTATATTTGAGTTGTGGTTATGTGATAATAATATGTTTTTTATGTAATTCCCCACAAAGTTAAGTAGAAGTACTCAGGTCTTGTAGTAAAAGTAGAAGTACTCAGGTCTTGTAGTAAAAGTAGAAGTACTCAGGTCTTGTAGTAAAAGTAGAAGTACTCAGATCTTGTAGTAAAAGTAGGAGTACTCAGGTCTTGTACTTGAGTTAAAAGTAGAAGTACTTAGATCCTGCATTGAGTTAAAGTAGAAGTACCAGAGTGTAGGAATACTCTGTTACAAGTAGAAGTACACCATTTACCTCTGAACTGTAGTGGAGTAGAAGTACACAGTAGCATAAAATGGAAATACTCAAGTAAAGTACAAGTACCTCTTAAGTACAGTACTTGAGTAAATCTGCTTAGTTACTTTACATCTCTGGTTAAGTATAATACAAAACTGCAAAGAATATAATAATAAAAGTGTTCTTTAATGAGCCAGAGGGTGCAGTGTCTGCTCCAGGCCGACAGGGGGCGCTCTGCTGTGTTTCAGGGAAGGAAGATGAAAATGAACAGCACTCAGAAGTTGTTTGGTGACAGCAGCGTTTACAACCTCCTGTCAAGTGAGCAGGAAAATTAGATAATGTAGCTTCCGGTTCATTACATTTGGTACAAAATAAAAGCATGTAAATAGAGAAGGCACTGTAAAAGCAGGCTTTTACACCTAAACATTTAACAGCTACACTTATAAAATGCATGATTTCGATGTGTTTAGTATTCAAATAATGTAAAACATATACATTAAAATCATAATCATGAAGCTGTGATACTTATTTTGAAAGGGTCCCCACCGGAACATGTAACAAGGTAGCTGATGCTAACTTAAACTAGCGAACCACCAGAGGCACATTTAGCCTCTCGTTTGTACTGAAATATAATACTTTAGAGATTTTAAAAGTACATTTAGACAAAGCGAAGTAATCCAAGTTGTTTGTGGGAACATTAGAGTGGAATAACAACGCGTTTAGAGCTGCGTTTCTGTTCAACGTGACCGCTGGTGTAACGAGGATTTCTGTTTACCGGAAGCAGAATGTGCTAACGTGAAGGTGAGAAACAATAATAATAATACATGGGATTTTTATAGCGCTTTTCCTAATGCTCAAAGACGCTTTAAGGAGAGGACTCTTTAAAGTAGAGACACTACATACTGATATACACCTGAACGTCAGCAGGAGTGGACTCTTTAAAGTAGAGCAGGGGCGTTTCTAGGGGGGCCAGTGCCCCCCTAACACTGACCTCTGACCTCCTTGTGGCCCCCCTAACAATCTTTTTTTTTTTTTTTTAATGTATATTTTCTGGTTCTCGGTTTGCCAAAAACCGCAGGATTTTGTTGCTGTAATGTGAGATTGTGCAGACACCCTTATGTAAAGTAGAGATGTAACTGTTCATTGCCTTTATTTTTATATAAATATGGTGTTAGTGCAAACATTGCACTATAACTTAAGCTGAAGCTAACAGTAATAACTATAAGATCTATCTGAAATAAATAAGTGTACTGAAACAAATACCAATAACTGTATTGCATTGTTTTCTTATGCGCAATTACTTCATACTGTCGAGTTCTCTTTTTCGTCCTGCATTTATTGTGCCCCCCTCAGAAAATAACTGCCCCCCCAGTCAAATTGGTCTAGAACCGCCACTGAAGTAGAGAAATATGAACATTAAAGAAACCTTGAAGAACATTTGAAGAGAAACAGTTCTCTGTTTCCGTCACACAGTAAAAACCTCTTCTTTCCTCCCACATCAGCAGGAGAGGACTCTTTAAAGTAGAGACACTACATACTGATATACACCTGAACATCAGCAGGAGAGGACTCTTTAAAGTAGAGACACTACATACTGATATACACCTGAACATCAGCAGGAGAGGACTCTTTAAAGTAGAGACACTACATACTGATATACACCTGAACATCAGCAGGAGAGGACTCTTTAAAGTAGAGACACTACATACTGATATACACCTGAACATCAGCAGGAGAGGACTCTTTAAAGTAGAGACACTACATACTGATATACACCTGAACATCAGCAGGAGAGGACTCTTTAAAATAGAGACACCACATACTGATATACACCTGAACATCAGCAGGAGAGGACTCTTTAAAGTAGAGACACTACATACTGATATACACCTGAACATCAGCAGGAGAGGACTCTTTAAAGTAGAGACACTACATACTGATATACACCTGAACATCAGCAGGAGAGGACTCTTTAAAGTAGAGACACTACATACTGATATACACCTGAACATCAGCAGGAGAGGACTCTTAAAGTAGAGACACTACATACTGATATACACCTGAACATCAGCAGGAGAGGACTCTTTAAAGTAGAGACACTACATACTGATATACACCTGCACATCAGCAGGAGAGGACTCTTTAAAGTAGAGACACTACATGCTGATATACACCTGAACATCAGCAGGAGAGGACTCTTTAAAGTAGAGACACTACATACTGATATACACCTGAACATCAGCAGGAGAGGACTCTTTAAAATAGAGACACTACATACTGATATACACCTGAACATCAGCAGGAGAGGACTCTTTAAAGTAGAGACACTACATGCTGATATACACCTGAACATCAGCAGGAGAGGACTCTTTAAAGTAGAGGACACTACATACTGATATACACCTGAACATCAGCAGGAGAGGACTCTTTAAAGTAGAGACACTACATACTGATATACACCTGAACATCAGCAGGAGAGGACTCTTTAAAGTAGAGACACTACATACTGATATACACCTGAACATCAGCAGGAGAGGCTTCTTTAAAGTAGAGACACTACATACTGATATACACCTGAACATCAGCAGGAGAGGACTCTTTAAAGTAGAGACACTACATACTGATATACACCTGAACATCAGCAGGAGAGGACTCTTTAAAGTAGAGACACTGCATACTGATATACACCTGAACATCAGCAGGAGAGGACTCTTTAAAGTAGAGACACTACACACTGATATACACCTGAACATCAGCAGGAGAGGACTCTTTAAAGTAGAGACACTACATACTGATATACACCTGAACATCAGCAGGAGAGGACTCTTTAAAGTAGAGACACTACATACTGATATACACCTGAACATCAGCAGGAGAGGACTCTTTAAAGTAGAGACACTACACACTGATATACACCTGAACATCAGCAGGAGGACTCTTTAAAGTAGAGACACTACATACTGATATACACCTGAACATCAGCAGGAGAGGACTCTTTAAAGTAGAGACACTACATACTGATATACACCTGAACATCAGCAGGAGAGGGACTCTTTAAAGTAGAGACACTACATGCTGATATACACCTGAACATCAGCAGGAGAGGACTCTTTAAAGTAGAGACACTACATACTGATATACACCTGAACATCAGCAGGAGAGGACTCTTTAAAGTTAGAGACACTACATACTGATATACACCTGAACATCAGCAGGAGAGGACTCTTTAAAGTAGAGACACTACATACTGATATACACCTGAACATCAGCAGGAGAGGACTCTTTAAAGTAGAGACACTGCATACTGATATACACCTGAACATCAGCAGGAGAGGACTCTTTAAAGTAGAGACACTACACACTGATATACACCTGAACATCAGCAGGAGAGGACTCTTTAAAGTAGAGACACTACATACTGATATACACCTGAACATCAGCAGGAGAGGACTCTTTAAAGTAGAGACACTACATACTGATATACACCTGAACATCAGCAGGAGAGGACTCTTTAAAGTAGAGACACTACACACTGATATACACCTGAACATCAGCAGGAGGACTCTTTAAAGTAGAGAGACTACATACTGATATACACCTGAACATCAGCAGGAGGACTCTTTAAAGTAGAAAGACACTACATACTGATATACACCTGAACATCAGCAGGAGAGGACTCTTTAAAGTAGAGACACTACATACTGATATACACCTGAACATCAGCAGGAGAGGACTCTTTAAAGTAGAGACACTACATACTGATATACACCTGAACATCAGCAGGAGAGGACTCTTTAAAGTAGAGACACTGCATACTGACTATACACCTGAACATCAGCAGGAGAGGACTCTTTAAAGTAGAGACACTACACACTGATATACACCTGAACATCAGCAGGAGAGGACTCTTTAAAGTAGAGACACTACATACTGATATACACCTGAACATCAGCAGGAGAGGACTCTTTAAAGTAGAGGACACTACATACTGATATACACCTGAACATCAGCAGGAGAGGACTCTTTAAAGTAGAGACACTACACACTGATATACACCTGAACATCAGCAGGAGGACTCTTTAAAGTAGAGAGACTACATACTGATATACACCTGAACATCAGCAGGAGGACTCTTTAAAGTAGAGAGACACTACATACTGATATACACCTGAACATCAGCAGGAGAGGACTCTTTAAAGTAGAGACACTACATACTGATATACACCTGAACATCAGCAGGAGAGGACTCTTTAAAGTAGAGACACTACACACTGATATACACCTGAACATCAGCAGGAGGACTCTTTAAAGTAGAGAGACTACATACTGATATACACCTGAACATCAGCAGGAGGACTCTTTAAAGTAGAGAGACTACATACTGATATACACCTGAACATCAGCAGGAGGACTCTTTAAAGTAGAGAGACACTACATACTGATATACACCTGAACATCAGCAGGAGAGGACTCTTTAAAGTAGAGACACTACATACTGATATACACCTGAACATCAGCAGGAGAGGACTCTTTCAAGTAGAGACACTACATACTGATATACACCTGAACATCAGCAGGAGAGGACTCTTTAAAGTAGAGACACTACATACTGATATACACCTGAACATCAGCAGGAGGAGGAACTCTTTAAAGTAGAGACACTACATACTGATATACACCTGAACATCAGCAGGAGAGGACTCTTTAAAGTAGAGACACTACATACTGATATACACCTGAACATCAGCAGGAGAGGACTCTTTAAAGTAGAGACACTACATACTGATATACACCTGAACATCAGCAGGAGAGGACTCTTTAAAGTAGAGAATTGGATTTATTTTGTGATTGCATATGAGTTGAAGAGGTTAATCATTGATTTGTTGTATTTGTTTCTTCCCTCACAGATGCCTTCTTTCGACTTGTTGAATAATGTGGAGCTTTTTGTGAAACACGGAAAGTTTCCTGCAGACGCTACAAAGAGCTGCAAGAAAGTCACCAAAGCTGCCAGCAAGAAGTTCATCTTTAAAGGTCATTTAGAGCAAAACACTCACAAGTTTACACTGAATTGCTTCATTTCATCCCTCAGGCCATCAGACTGTTAAACACCTTTTGAAAGAACATCCATAACATTCATCTGTTTGAAACTTATATTTATAAATCAATATTCCAATTTCTTGCACTATTTCTATTATATTCTATTTTATTTGTATTTACTTGCACTATTGTATCTGTTTTATTGTGCCGATGCTCCATGGCGGAGGCTCCGGTAGAAATTGCCAGGATTCGCGTTTTTACGCCCTAAATGTCTGACCAATGGTTGAACAGCATTTCTGTGCACATGACTTATGTTTAAAGTTTATAGTCCATTTGAATTTTGCCCGTGAATGAAACAATGGAACAAACTGTCGTCTGGTGCGCGCCTGAAAACGGGCTATAGGCAGGGCTGCACATAACTGGTGCGCAGGTGCCAAAAAAAGAGCACCGGGTCATTTGAAAAAAGGCGCATTTGCGTACCAAAATTGAGAGAGAGAGAGAGAGGGAGAGAGGGAGAAGAGAAAAGAGAAGAGAGAGAAAGAGGGAGAGAGGGAGAAGAGAAAAGAGAAGAGAGAGAAAGAGGGAGAGAGGGAGAAGAGAAAAGAGAAAAGAGAGGAGAGAGAAATATATTTGCGAGTTGCATATGAACTCAGGGCCGGCCCGTAGCACTGGCGTAATAGATGTTCGCCTAGGGCGCCAGATCTGTGGAGGCGCTGCAGCTCTGGGGGGGAAAACATTTTTTTTTACCGTTGGGGCTCATCCTAATTTTCGGCCTTGATGTAACAATATTCATAATTAAGTAAATGTAACACCCTTTTCACCCCGGTTACACGTTTCATTTGCCCTGTACGATGGGTGCTGTAAGGGATGAAAATGGGGGATGTTGGCTTCCTGGTCGAATGCACTTATTGTAAGTCACTTTGGACAAAAGCGTCAGCTAAATGCAATGTAATGTAATGTAATGTAATCTGGCGCCCGCAGGGTCATTCCAGAATTGGAGGACAATTTAGACACCAACATTTTTGAAAAATGAACCTTTTATTTTATAATCTTTTTTTATGTATTTAGGAAAAACAGACAACAAACCATCAAAAAAAGTGATTTGCCCAGCTAGGCATCAAATGTATATTTTCCAATGAAGAATTACCCCTGCTACTCTAATTATAGTAACATGGTTAAATCAATGCTAATTTGAGCTTTAACCTCAGGAAGTATTGCTAGATGTAGCATGTAATGCTACTTTCAAGGCAAGGACACACTTGGATATCTAATGCAAGAAAGATAACTTTGAAATGAATATGCTTTATTCTGATAATATGAGTAACAGGGCTGAGTGGTCAGAGTGCCACACTCTTTTAAGACTGAAAAGATTGTAAAAATATGAAAAATAAAAGAGGACTTAGTTGTGGTCTACCCATGGCACTAGCACATGGCTTGCTGATGTCACTTCCTGTGTGTCATCTGACTTACAGTTTGTTCACTTCCTGTGCCAATCTAAAAAGGTTTGGGTAACAGGGTTGAACGCATGTTGAGGGACACACCTTCTGTGCAACATTACTGTTATCTAAAATATGTTTATGATTTAACAAATTGATTTTACCATTACAAGAGACATATATCAATAGAATAATACCAACAAAAGTAAATAAAATCCCTTTTTAAATGTTATATTTGACGCAAGTTGGTCACCAAGAAGCGGGGACAAGAGAAAAATGCCATTTTAGGGGATGTTCGAGAGCTATTTGATCATTTAAATAATATTTTGAAACCACTTTTTCTACAACTTTATATACATTTTGTCTCAATACAAGTATGTTTAACACAACAAGTGCATGTTTTAGCATTTTGGGCATGGATTATTAGATTTTTATAAGGGGGACATGAAATGTCCTCCAATTCTGGAATGACCATACAGCCAAAATGCGAGTGAGCGAGGGAGAGAGAGAAGGGCGCACCGCCCGGTACCGACGCTGTTGTTATTAGAATCTGGTGCTAGCTGCTCTAACGGATATAAGAAGAAGATGTTTCTACAATGATGTGGAGGGAGAGTCCTCTCCAGTCAGACTGAGAGGCTGATAACTACAGCTCAGTGAGGTAAAGGACTCTGAGGGTTTAGATAGTTCACTTTAGTCTAAGTTCAAACAGTTTGGTCCCGCCCCTTAGCCTATCACATACAATGTGTTGGAGCGCTAGCCAATAGGAGCATGACTGGTAAAGGTGGAGCTCTTTTCAGCTGATTTGTTTTAGTAGCAATTAAAGAACGTCTCTTTGTGCTATGGTACTTGAGTTACTTATTACTTTCCTCTATTAATCCACTTCACATAATACAATAACCTGAGTGTATTCCCTCTCTCTCTCCTGCAGATGGTTTTCTGTGGCGTCATTACAGGGGACGCCTGCTCAGAGTTGTAAAAAGTGACGAGGAGGTGAAGGAAATTATGATCCGTTTCCACGACAACAACAACCACGTCGGTAGGATTAAAGTAGTAAAGGATATAATGGTGAGTTCATAGGATATCATCAGAGCTGGGAAGTAACTAAGTACATTTACTCTGTACTTAAGTACAATTTAGAGATACTTGTACTTTACTTGAGTATTTCAATGTAATGCTACTGTGTGCTTTTACTCCACTACATGTATTTAATCCCTTCAGTTACTTCACAGATGTGGATGAATGATGTGAAATCTAATCAAGTGTTAAATCAGACTTTAGTTCCACCTGGAGTAAATCCACCAGCTACCCTGCAGTATACAAAGTACTTCAGACTAGCTGCACCTTTACCAGCTTTGAGAACACTTTCATGATCAATCATTATAAAACATATCATATATATTATTCTGAAATGGACCAATCTTCACAACGACTACTTTTACTGTCGCTACTTTCACTTGAGGAACATTTTGAATGCAGGACTTTTACTGTAACAGAGTATTCCTACACTCTGGTACTTCTACTTTTACTCAAGTACAAGATCTGAGTACTTCTACTTTTACTAAAGTACAAGATCTGAGTACTTCTACTTTTACTCAAGTACAAGATCTGAGTACTTTTACTTTGACTCAAGTACAAGATCTGAGTACTTCTACTTTTACTCAAGTACAAGATCTGAGTACTTCTACTTTTACTCAAGTACTTACCCGAGTACTTCTCCCACCTATGGATATCCTTTTGATCAACAGAACAAATAGTTTAGGATAATATGGTAAACAAAAGTTCTTAAAATGACGTGTTCTTCTGTTTTTGCAGCTGATGTTTTACTGGGTTGGAGTGACGGAGGTCGCGAAGGCCTGGATCAAAAAGTGTGAATTTTGTCAGAACCGAATTCTTCCAGAAACCAAAAAACCCTTGGTCCAGTTCTGCTTTGTCTACGGCTGCGAATCCTCTAGCTCCATCTACCCCGAACTCAGCTTCCACAGGTTAAACACCACCTTCACACAGATTATATGTTAAAAATTATCTGAAAAGCAGTTGGTCAGCGTTAGAAAAATCTCTCTGGTTCCCGGCTTGAGCTTCAGGCAAAGTCTTCCATCCACTCGCAATAGGCACCAGAAACGTGTCCGTTCACACGAGACGCTGGAGACGCTGTGGTACAAATGCCGGGCCTGTAAGTGGCGCTGTACTTCCGCCACAAAATACACTAAAAGCAGATGGCTTTTTCTCAAAATTCTGACTTTTTCCTTAAAATCACAACATTCTGACTTTTTCTCAAAATATGACTTTTTCTCAAAATCACAAAATGTTGAATTTTTCATTAAAATTATGACTTTTTTTCTCAAAATCACAAAATTCATATTAGAATACTTAAAAATGTTAATAATCCCTGGTCCCCGGCTTGATCTTCAACCTCAGGATCCATGTATCTGTGATCCTCTCCAGAATGGAAGGAGTCATCACATACAGAGCATCAACTAGTTCCTGAACAGTGTCCTTCACATGCTGATGTCCAAGAGAGGGAGTTACACAGTCACAAGATGGAGGAATAGAAAGCAGTATTCAATGTTTACTTCAGATTAGCTCCACGTCAGAAATGAGCATGCTTGATGTCTCTCTCCATAGAGGCTGAATCATCATGTTCATCACATAGCTATCATCTGCCTCAAACAGTCCTGATGCTCTTCTAGGTAATCACACATCCTGTCATGTTCACAATACTGAGTTATTCTTTTCATAAATGTTGGCTTTTTTCTCAAAATTCTGATTTTTTTTCTCAAAATTCTAACTTTTTCTTAAAATTCTGACTTTTTCTCAAAATCTCAAAATTCTGACTTTCTGTTCAGTTATTTTAAAAGTTAATCTCTGCAGGTTTCCAGAAGATAAAGAGATCCGGCAGAGATGGTTGTCGGTGGCTCAGAGAGATGAAAACTCTCTGAGATCAAACTCTTTTCTCTGCTCCAAACACTTTGAGCCGTCTTGCTTCACTCTGAGCGACGAGGTTCGGCTGACTCTATCACCTGGCGCCGTGCCGACCATCATCCCAGAGACAGGGCAGGAGGACCAGGTGACACAACGCAAGACGCACGTTATTATTGAACATTATTAATAATATTGCACATGTTATAAAGCTTATACATTTTGCTGTGCATAAATCATCATTGAACGCCTATTTGAATCTGTCGTCCTTCTTGTTTTCCAGGTCCCTGTCCCTTCAGAGGAGGACTTCCTGTTCTCTAACAGCCTGGAAGACCCCTTCTCCAAAACCTCTCCTCCTCCTTCCCCCATGGAGCTGCAGGAGCATCAGTACTGCCTCCAGGACCCAGAACCCACAGAGACGGAGCTGAAGAGGAGGTTCCTCAATGAGTCCAGCTTCAAGGTGTTCAACCACATCGCCAGGTACATCAATGACCCCTTTAAAGTGTTACAAGATGCATTTTGTTCTGATTGAATTAAATGTTTTTATTGCGTCCTGCAGGTATCTGAGCCACAGAATCTTACCCATGCAAAACAAGAAAGGCATAAGTAGTTTGAAAAGGATGACCAACCGCTTTGCGTTAAAAGGTGAGTAGAAAGAGTGATAACACTTATTTAATCCGTCTCTTTTGATCCTCAATTAACCAGATTATAGCTGACTTAAAATAAATTACTTAAGAAGCAGAGGTGGGAAGTATTAGAGTACAAATACCTCGTTACTGTACTTAAGTACATGTTTCTGGTATCAGTACTTTACTCCACTACTTATTTTTCTGACCACTTTTTACTTTGACTTCTTACATTTAGAACTCAAATACCTGTACTTTCTACTTCTTACATGTTGAACTCAAATACCTGTACTTTCTACTTCTTACATGTTGAACTCAAATACCTGTACTTTCTACTTCTTACATGTTGAACACAAATACCTGTACTTTCTACTTCTTACATGTTGAACCCAAATACCTGTACTTTCTACTTCTTACATGTTGAACTCAAATACCTGTACTTTCTACTTCTTACATGTTGAACCCAAATACCTGTACTTTCTACTTCTTACATGTTGAACTCAAATACCTGTACTTTCTACTTCTTACATGTTGAACCCAAATACCTGTACTTTCTACTTCTCACATGTTGAACACAATACCTGTACTTTCTACTTCTTACATGTTGAACACAAATACCTGTACTTTCTACTTCTTACATGTTGAACTCAAATACCTGTACTTTCTACTTCTTACATGTTGAACTCAAATACCTGTACTTTCTACTTCTTACATGTTGAACTCAAATACCTGTACTTTCTACTTCTTACAGGTTGAACTCAAATACCTGTACTTTCTACTTCTTACATGTTGAACCCAAATACCTGTACTTTCTACTTCTTACATGTTGAACACAAATACCTGTACTTTCTACTTCTCACATGTTGAACCCAAATACCTGTACTTTCTACTTCTTACATGTTGAACACAAATACCTGTACTTTCTACTTCTCACATGTTGAACCCAAATACCTGTACTTTCTACTTCTTACATGTTGAACACAAATACCTGTACTTTCTACTTCTCACATGTTGAACCCAAATACCTGTACTTTCTACTTCTTACATGTTGAACTCAAATACCTGTACTTTCTACTTCTTACATGTTGAACACAAATACTTGTACTTTCTACTTCTCACATGTTGAACTCAAATACCTGTACTTCTACTTCTTACATGTTGAACTCAAATACCTGTACTTTCTACTTCTTACATGTTGAACTCAAATACCTGTACTTTCTACTTCTCACATGTTGAACTCAAATACTGTACTTTCTACTTCTTACATGTTGAACACAAATACCTGTACTTTCTACGTCTTACATGTTGAACTCAAATACCTGTACTTTCACTTCTCACATGTTGAACACAATACCTGTACTTTCTACTTCTTACATGTTGAACTCAAATACCTGTACTTTCTACTTCTTACATGTTGAACTCAAATACCTGTACTTTCTTCTACTTCTTACATGTTGAACTCAAATACCTGTACTTTCTACTTCTCACATGTTGAACTCAAATACCTGTACTTTCTACTTCTCACATGTTGAACACAAAATACCTGTACTTTCTACTTCTTACATGTTGAACTCAAATACCTGTACTTTCTACTTCTTACATGTTGAACTCAAATACCTGTTACTTTCTACTTTCTTACATGTTGAACTCAAATACCTGTACTTTCTACTTCTTACATGTGAACACAAATACCGTACTTTCTACTTCTTACATGTTGAACACAAATACCTGTACTTTCTACTTCTTACATGTTGAACTAAAATACCTGTACTTCTACTTCTTACATGTTGAACTCGAATACCTGTACTTTCTACTTCTCACATGTTGAACTCAAATACCTGTACTTTCTACTTCTTACATGTTGAACTCAAATACCTGTACTTTCTACTTCTTACATGTTGAACTCAAATACCTGTACTTTCTACTTCTTACATGTTGAACTCAAATACCTGTACTTTCTACTTCTTACATGTTGAACACAAATACCTGTACTTTCTACTTCTCACATGTTGAACTCAAATACCTGTACTTTCTACTTCTTACATGTTGAACACAAATACTTGTACTTTCTACTTCTCACATGTTGAACTCAAATACCTGTACTTTCTACTTCTTACATGTTGAACACAAATACCTGTACTTTCTACTTCTTACATGTTGAACTCAAATACCTGTACTTTCTACTTCTCACAGGTTGAACTCAAATACCTGTACTTTCTACTTCTTACATGTTGAACTCAAATACCTGTACTTTCTACTTCTTACATGTTGAACTCAAATACCTGTACTTTCTACTTCTTACATGTTGAACACAAATACTTGTACTTTCTACTTCTCACATGTTGAACCCAAATACCTGTACTTTCTACTTCTTACATGTTGAACTCAAATACCTGTACTTTCTACTTCTTACATGTTGAACACAAATACCTGTACTTTCTACTTCTTACATGTTGAACTCAAATACCTGTACTTTCTACTTCTCACATGTTGAACACAAATACCTGTACTTTCTACTTCTTACATGTTGAACACAAATACCTGTACTTTCTACTTCTTACATGTTGAACTCAAATACTTGTACTTTCTACTTCTTACATGTTGAACTCAAATACCTGTACTTTCTACTTCTTACATGTTGAACTCAAATACTTGTACTTTCTACTTCTCTCATGTTGAACTCAAATACCTGTACTTTCTACTTCTTACATGTTGAACACAAATACCTGTACTTTCTACTTCTTACATGTTGAACTCAAATACCTGTACTTTCTACTTCTCACATGTTGAACACAAATACCTGTACTTTCTACTTCTTACATGTTGAACACAAATACCTGTACTTTCTACTTCTTACATGTTGAACTCAAATACTTGTACTTTCTACTTCTTACATGTTGAACTCAAATACCTGTACTTTCTACTTCTTACATGTTGAACTCAAATACCTGTACTTTCTACTTCTTACATGTTGAACTCAAATACTTGTACTTTCTACTTCTCTCATGTTGAACTCAAATACCTGTACTTTCTACTTCTTACATGTTGAACTCAAATACTTGTACTTTCTACTTCTCTCATTTTCCAAACAGCTGGTTCCTTTAGTCTGAATGTGTGTTTGATGCGTGATCATTATTCTTTAGAGTCATTGCGTGCCTATTGATTTGAACACGATCCGTGTATCCATCATTTCCTGGTCTTCTCTAAAGAAGAGGGACCAATGGAAACGTTGTCATGTTGCCGTTGTTCAGCATGGAAACATTCATTAGCTAACAATGACATTATTGTTCTATTAATATAAAGGGAGGTCAGGTACTCTTTAAAATAGCTGCTAGTTATGGGTACTTTCTACTGAAGTACATTTCAAAGCCTCTTTACTTTGACTTGAGTAAAGAAGTTTAGTCAGTACTTCTACTTTCACCAGAGTATTTTTAAACACGAGTATCTGTACTTCTACTTGAGTAAAGGATGTGTGTACTTCTACTTGAGTAAAGAATGTGTGAACTTCTACTTGAGTAAAGGATGTGTGTACTTCTACTTGAGTAAAGGATGTGTGTACTTCTATTTGAGTAAAGAATGTGTGTACTTCTACTTGAGTAAAGGATGTGTACTTTTGCCCTCTCTGCTAAGAAGCATTTCTCTTGTGTTTCAGACGGTGTGCTGATGTACACTGTAGTCTCTCCTCCTGTCAGAGTGCTACGCAGCAGAGAAGAGGTTAGCAAGATTTAAATATATATAAACATCTTAATGAATCCTGTATCAACATCTTAAAAAAGATTGAGCTTAAGTGCAGGAACGTGAAAACAAGTACACTCTTTCCTGTCTTATGTTCCACTTCCTAGCAAGTAAATGCAAAAACACCCTTAAGAAAATCCTAAAAAGCCTTTAAAAGACTTTAAAAGAACATAAGTCTCATGTTTTCCGTCTTTTGGTCGACAGGTAAACTCGATCCTGCGTCAGTTCCACGACGACCTGGATCACTCTGCTCTGGTGACCTGCCAGAGAGAGATCACGAAGCGGTTCTTCTGGGCCAGAATGACCCGGGACGTGGCCCGCTGGATCTCCTGCTGTCAGACCTGCATGGACAGAACCAAGAGGAGGTGGCTCCGCTGCAGCATGAGGAGCTGCACCAACAGCTGTGGGCCGGTGGAGAGAGGCCTGGGGCTCACCTTCCACAAGTACGAGGGGTTCTGTCCAGATTAAGGGTCTTTAAGTTATCCTGCAAGAAGAGGAACAGAACATGTGGTTAGAGAGATAACTGGCTGTCTTAAAGGTCCCCTATCATACTGTTTGTCATCAATATATCACAGGGATCAGATATATCCAGAGCCTGTCTCTGATTGGCTGAAACACCAAACAGACCATTGCAGCATTACCCATAATGCCCTCTGTTTCAGCCCTGTTTCCAAAGTGCTGATTCTCTGTCTGTTACTTTAGATGAAAATAAGGAGCCCCTCCCCACGCCCCTCTGAGAGACATTTGGTTACAAAGAACTCAATGGTGCTCTAGGAGGAGATTCAGGTGATAAGGTGGAGGGGGGGGGGGGGTTACATTGGTTGCTGATTGGCTAATGGTTACACAAGACAACACATCGTTATGACATCATCAAGTGGCCAAAATCTGATCAGCTCATTTTCAGACAGGTTTTTATAGAAATGGATCAAAAAGAGAGAGAATCTTTGTTCCTGAAACTTTCAGAGTCTCTTTCCACAGAGGGGACACATGTTGATGTAGAAGAGACATGAAGAAGAGGGGACACATGTTGATGTAGAAGAGACATGAAGAAGAGGGGACACATGTTGATGTAGAAGAGACATGAAGAAGAGGGGACACATGTTGATGTAGAAGAGACATGAAGAAGAGGGGACCACATGCTGATGTAGAAGAGACATGAAGAAGAGGGGACCACATGTGATTGAGAAGAAGAGGGGACACATGTTGATGAAGAAGAGGGGACACATGTTGATTGTTAGAAGAGACAATGAAGAAGAGGGGACACATGTTGATGTAGAAGAGACATGAAGAAGAGGGGACACATGTTGATGTAGAAGAGACATGAAGAAGAGGGGGACACATGTTGATGTAGAAGAGACATGAAGAAGAGGGGACACATGTTGATGCAGAAGAGACATGAAGAAGAGGGGACACATGTTGATGCAGAAGAGACATGAAGAAGAGGGGACACATGTTGATGTAGAAGAGACATGAAGAAGAGGGGACACATGTTGATGTAGAAGAGACATGAAGAAGAGGGGACACCATGTTGATGAAGAAGAGACATGAAGAAGAGGGGACACATGTTGATGTAGAAGAGACATGAAGAAGAGGGGACACATGTTGATGTAGAAGAGACATGAAGAAGAGGGGGACACATGTTGATGCAGAAGAGACATGAAGAAGAGGGGACACATGTTGATGTAGAAGAGACATGAAGAAGAGGGGACACATGTTGATGTAGGAAGAGACATGAAGAAGAGGGGACACATGTTGATGTAGAAGAGACATGAAGAAGAGGGGACACATGTTGATGAAGAAGAGACATGAAGAAGAGGGGACACATGTTGATGTAGAAGAGACATGAAGAAGAGGGGACACATGTTGATGTAGAAGAGACATGAAGAAGAGGAGACACATGTTGATGTAGAAGAGACATGAAGAAGAGGGGACACATGTTGATGAAGAAGAGACATGAAGAAGAGGGGACACATGTTGATGTAGAAGAGACATGAAGAAGAGGGGACACATGTTGATGTAGAAGAGACATGGAGAAGAGGGGACACATGTTGATGTAGAAGAGACATGAAGAAGAGGGGACACATGTTGATGAAGAAGAGGGACACATGTTGATGTAGAAGAGACATGAAGAAGAGGGGACACATGTTGATGTAGAAGAGACATGAAGAAGAGGGGACACATGTTGATGTAGAAGAGACATGAAGAAGAGGATTTTGCAGAATAGGTCCCCTTTAATATCTGGAGTCGACCATTGGGATTATTCAAATATCTCTCATGCCTCTAGATGAACATGAACCTCCTTAAAAAGTCATCAAATTAACCACAATCTAAATTCTGAGCATTTGTCCGATCGGTTTTGTCTAAATGTATTTACGCTGCTTTTTATATATTTATTAATACATAGCACTTTCGTCAACTCTGTTGTTTTTTAATGTGCGTTATAAATACAGTTGGATTGGATGTATTCTTCATTGTAAACCAGTCATCAGAGGACTGGCAAATCAGCTTCTTAGAGTTAAATGATGTCTTTATCTGAAAGCTTTTTGAAATATCTATTCACCCTCCTTCTCCTCCAGGTTTCCTCTGGACGACACGCCTCTTCTTCATCAGTGGATGAAGGCGGTCGGTCGTCCCAACTGGTTTCCTCGACTCGGATCGTCCGTTTGTTCGTCCCATTTCAGCGAGGAATGCTTCGATCGCAGCGGGGAGAAAGTGTCGGTCCGATCAGACGCCATGCCGACACTCATGGTGCACGGAAACCAAGAGGTGAGAGAGGAAAGAGACTCTTTGTACGTCAAAGTGTGAGAGTGGAGTCTGCAGAAGTAAAAACAATCTACTGTGCTGCCTGTCGGACTTCTTTTATTACTTCTCTGAAGCAAGAAGATCGTGTTGTGCCACAAACTGAAAGCCCACTTATTTGACTGCACCTAAATTATATATATATAAGTACTAATAATAATACAAAAATGGTCGTAGTCCTTGTTTTAAAGTGGTTCGAAGCTTATGTTTTTGCAGGCTGTATCATCCTGGTTGCGCTAATTGTAAATTACTTTTAATTCATTAAACGTAGCTTAATTAATTACAATGTAATGTGTCTTTTCCCCTCAGACTCCGCTCACAGGACCGATCCAGCCTGCAGTGGACGAGGTTTGATCATTTTGGGGTTTAGCTAAATATTGTATGTTACTATGGATGAGAGCATGGATGTATAATAAGCACTGGATACAGCGTGGGAGGCGGGGCCTCGTTCATTACTATTACCTCATTCACACCAACGCAACTCCGGTTCAAGCTCCGTGCTAGAGCTTTTCAGGTTCAGAACCGGTTCTTCGGTTTAGCTCCGGCTCTTTTCACACCGCCCAGAGTCCGACTGGTGCTGCGTCATTGCGTCATCGTTTGCGTCATGACGTAACCGTTTGCGTGCCTGCTTCATAAAGCCAAACCGCGTGAAAACCCCTCACAGCTGACACTGACAACAACAACAATGGCCGATTGTGCTCCAGCTTCCTCTGTACCTCTTCGGAAGACCAGATTCCCAGCTGGTCTCTTCAGTGGACCACTGCTGCTTGTTAAGTTTCTCCATCGTTGTGTACAAACTGGATAAAACGCGGGATTGTTGTTGTTGTTCAGGAGTTGATCCCGCCCCTGGCCCCGCCTCGACGTAAGCGGTGCTTTTGCTCTAGCCGGAAAAAATGTTGGTGCTCGAAACGAACCGGATTCCGGAGCTTAGAGGCGGCTCCGCTGCGGTGCCCTGGAACACCGTTGGTGTGAATGAGATATTTGAGAGTTGCTCATTGGCGCATGAAGACAAAATGGCCCAACTTTTGAGAGAGCGAAACATCACGAAAGTATTCATATAATCATATAATCCGTTCTTATTGTGCATCCATGGGTAAAGGTAAAACACGTACTGAACACGTCACATGAACGTACCGGTCGGTCCCGTGGGTTAGATCCGCATTCCCAATGCCGAGCAAAATAACTCTTAGAATAACGTTATTAGCACATTTTACAACTCGAGGACCGAATGTTTTTAATAAGGGCTATACAGTATACAGTATAAGGGTTCATACTGGGTAGTTTAAAAAAAATTATCCAGCGATTTACAGGCATCTTTTTCCCAATGTTGTCAATGGGAAAAAGTCTTTCCGGGCCCAGCGACTGATACGGAAGTGTAGTACCGCCGTTTGGCCACAACGAATATTTTCCTCAGAGTCCAGCGCACTTCCTGGGGGCTTGGATGAGAGTAACACATACAACAAAGCTGTCATTTGAACGGCGGTCAATACAAATTGTGAAGTTTTTGCCAATCCGATCAGAAATCGGAAGAGCCCGATGACGATGGCCAGACAGGCAAACAATTACATTAAATCATTTGAAATCGACGATCGGGCTCGATATAAGGTTAAATATAGCAGTAGGCGATCGATGTCCATAGATGAGTAACATCTACGTCACTTCCGGGCGAAAATTACGGCCCCGCCCACTTTTGGGGAAAACAACGCTGTCATTTGAATGGCGATCAAACGTAAATCTGGAATTATTTTAATGTTTGAGGTGCAATAAACGACACAACAGCTTGTTGGCATGATAAAACTATTATTTTCCGCCTCGCTCATGAGAGTAACAGCCAACGAAATTACGGCCTCGCCTACTGATTTTAATGTAACCATATATCGAGCCCGATTCTCGATTTCCAATGATTTAATGTAACTGTTCGCCTGTCTGGCCATCGTCATCGAGCTCTTTGAAGATCCACAAATCCACGGTTTTCAAACATTTCTGATCGGATTGGCAAAAACTTCAGAATGTGTATTGACCGCTGTTCAGATGACAGCAGTTTTCCCCCAAAAGTGGGCGGTGCTGTAATTTTCGCCCGGAAATGACGTAGGTGTTACACAAATAAATAAATCCAGCAATAAATAAATCCAGAAATATATAGATAAACGGAATTTATTTATACTTATGTCATGATCCATCCTCCATATGTTACAGCAGAATTACAAACAATCTAATCCTGATGCCCTTTCCCCTGTGTACTGCACTCACTGCATGTATTTTAATCTTTTAATTGTGTGTGTAGACGTATTTCTCTAAGTACGACGCGGTGGAGCTTTACCTGATTAAACGCACGTATCCTCCTGGACTGAGCTACGTGGAGAAAAACACCTTCAGGAGGTTCTGCAAGAGGTACTGCATCAAAGGTGAGTCCAAACTTAACCCAAACAGATTCAGAATAAACTTCTACAACAGGTAGATTACTCCTGGAGGTCTTTAGTATCAAAGGAAGGCGGTTTTTAAATATGTACGATACTTAAATGTTTACTCTGGAACAAGTACTGCAATTGTGATTTGTTGTTTTCTCGGATGATGTTTTGCTTTGTATTAAGGGGTTAAAGACAACATAAGATAGGCGCTTTTTTAAAAACAAAACAACAGTCATGATGTTGCTATGTAATTGGGAAGTATGGAACAGGGTTTTTCTGAGTATAATGGCGCATTTCCACTACAGTGCGGTTTAAGCATGCCGTGCCCGTTTTTGGTTGCGTTTCCACAGGCGTAGATCCGGCTAGCGGGTACTTTTTCAAAGTTTTCTGTCTCTCCAAAATCGAGGTTCTTTCCGGGCCAACAACCGGGCTGAGTATGCTAAACTAGTGAGAGAATCGCTGGCAACTACATACAACAAGATGAACATATTTGACCGTGATTTAATTGTAATACACGTTTCAAAATGATGCCGAAGTAACAACATACTGATACCGGTTAGTAAGAACCATGAATTAATGCTTTGACAAGTCTGCAGACAGACGGCAGAGAAACACCTTTAAGATGCGTGTTTTCTGAATGGAGATTGGCTAAGCTAACGCAGTATGCTCCGACCGTCCACACTCACAACAACGGCCTCCAGACATAAATAAAGCAGCGACTGTATTCTCCATGACACAGGCAGTCTGTGGTTTGTACTTGTTTAGCTTCTGTCTAGTTTCTGAACAGATATGAGGAGCTGTGAGCTCTGAGTGCTAACAGCTAACGGCTGATGTTGGTTTTGTGTTTCGCATTGAAGATGACGTCACGGCTCCGCCTACACTGCGTTACTATAGTTACTGCCCCAGCTACTACACTGTAATGGAGACGCAGCATAAAGTGAGCCTGGCCTAACGAGGCCTAGCCATACCGTACTAAGCCGAGCGAGGCCCTGCAGTGGAAAAGCGCCATAAGACACTTTTTAAAGAACCTTCACAGCGAAAGAGTCATCAGGATTAGCATTTACTTCATATAATACCTAACTTTCCAAATGAAACCTCACGATCCTCTGCGTGAGGTTTCATTGAATGTAATGTCCTCTCTCTCTCAGGTGATTCTCTGCACACAGAGAGAGGAAACCGGCTGTGTTTGGTCCTCAGGAGCCGGACGAAAGTGGAACAAGCTCTGCTGGATTTTCACGACGAGTTGAACCACCTCAACGTCAACAAGTGTCTCCGACTGCTCAACGAAAGGTGAGCGGGGATCTCAGAACGTCTCTTAATCGAGATCAAATGTATTCATCTCACTAAGACACACAAGAGTACACTGACACAAACTGCTTCTGTCTCTTCTTCGCTTTTCACTTCAAGTCGTTTGTAACATTAAATCAACCGATAACTGACTGCAAATTCAACTTTGAGATTTAAACACCGATTTGTTATTCTGTTAAGTCTATTTAACCAAACACATTGGTGTTTATCGATGTTGTACCATCCTGAAACTGTATGCAGTGGCGGTTCTAGACCAATTTGACTGGGGGGGCCACTGGGGGGCCAGTTATTTTCACAATAAATGCAGGATGAAAAAGAGAACTAGACAGTATGAAGTAATTGCGCATACGAAAACAATGCAATACAGTTATTGATATTTGTTTCAGTACACTTATTTATTTCAGATAGATCTTATAGTTATTACTGTTAGCTTCAGCTTAAGTTATAGTGCACTGTTTGCACTAACACCATATTTATATAAAAATAAAGGCAATGAACAGTTACATCTCTACTTTACATAAGGGTGTCTGCACAATCTCACATTACAGCAACAAAATCCTGCGGTTTTTGGCAAACCGAGTACCAGAAAATATACATTTAAAAAAAACCAAAAAAAAGCTTTTCATTGTTAGGGGGGCCACAGGGGGGTCAGAGGTCAGTGTTAGGGGGGCACTGGCCCCCCCCTAGAACCGCCCCTGCCTGTATGAGCACCTTTAAGAGTACGAAATGAAACGTTTAGTTACTTGTTGTTATAACTGTAGGTTCTTAAAATGTAGATTATACTTAACTCTGAAGGTGCATTTATATAATACCTGTATTAGTCCCACAGCTTCATCTAGGAAGCATGCATACAACAATATTGAAGATACAAAAATTCAAGAAAATTAGGCGTGTGGCGCAGTGGATAGTGCGTTGGTTTTGGGATCAGGGGAGCTCAGGTTCAAACCCCACTGCAGTCAGCATGTCGTTGTGTCCCTGTGGCGCAGTGGGCTGGAGCATAGGTTCAAACCCCACTGCAGTCAGCATGTCGTTGTGTCCCTGTGGCGCAGTGGACTGGAGTACAGGTTCAAACCCCACTGCAGTCAGCATGTCGTTGTGTCCCTGTGGCGCAGTGGACTGGATCATAGGTTCAAACCCCACTGCAGTCAGCATGTCGTTGTGTCCCTGTGGCGCAGTGGACTGGAGCACAGGTTCAAACCCCACTGCAGTCAGCATGTCGTTGTGTCCCTGTGGCGCAGTGGGATGGAGCACAGGTTCAAACCCCACTGCAGTCAGCATGTCGTTGTGTCCCTGTGGCGCAGTGGACTGGAGCACAGGTTCAAACCCCACTGCAGTCAGCATGTCGTTGTGTCCCTGTGGCGCAGTGGACTGGAGCACAGGTTCAAACCCCACTGCAGTCAGCATGTCGTTGTGTCGTTGTGGCGCAGTGGGCTGTAGCACAGGTTCAAACCCCACTGCAGTCAGCATGTCGTTGTGTCGTTGTGGCGCAGTGGGCTGGAGCACAGGTTCAAACCCCACTGCAGTCAGCATGTCGTTGTGTCCCTGTGGCGCAGTGGACTGTAGCACAGGTTCAAACCCCACTGCAGTCAGCATGTCGTTGTGTCCCTGTGGCGCAGTGGACTGGAGCACAGGTTCAAACCCCACTGCAGTCAGCATGTCGTTGTCTCCCTGAGTCACTTCACCCCAAATTGCTCCTGTGGGGATTGTCCACAGTATTGAGTATGTAAGTCTCTTTGGATAAAAGCGACTAACAAGTAACATGTCATGTCATGTAATATTGCACATAGTTAGTATATCCAATAACCAGCTCATGATGTCATCATCAGGTACTTCTGGAAAACCATGAGGCCTGATGTGGTTCAGTGGATCAACAAATGCTCAGAGTGCAGCAGGAAGACCAAGAAGAAGAAGAAACAAGGAAGACCACCAACAGGAACATTTCAATCTCCTCTGCAGACGCCGAGACCTCCACACACTCCAGAGGATTTAGACAGGTGTGTGTCTGCTGTAGAGAGTGTGTCTGCTGTAGAGTGTGTGTCTGTTGTAGAGAGTGTGTCTGTTGTAGAGAGTGTGTGTCTGCTGTAGAGAGTGTGTCTGCTGTAGAGAGTGTGTCTGCTGTAGAGAGTGTGTCTGCTGTAGAGAGTGTGTCTGCTGTAGAGTGTGTGTCTGCTGTAGAGAGTGTGTCTGCTGTAGATCAGTGTTTCTCAAACTTGTTCATACCAAGGACTTAACCAATAAAAAAACACCTAACTCCACAAATATCAAAAAACACATTGTTTTTCTAGAACAGATTACAAATCGCCTGAAAATGGTACAAACAAGTGGCAACATGTGTGACGAAGGTGTGGCCCTGGGCTATATCATGCAATCGAAACTTAAGCTCGCTCCATTGCGGAGATATTCCCGCGAGAGTGCGGAAAACTTAAATGTATTTATTTAAAATATGAAATGTTACCAATATACTCACGGACCACTAGGGGGCGGTCACGGACCACACTTTGAGAAGCACTGTCAGTGTAGTGTCTGTCTGCTGTAGAAACACTGCTCTCTAATCATCTAGCAGGACTGAAATGTTTTCTCTTCATAACATAAGATAAGATGGAACTTTATTTAACCGCGTGGGGAAATTCAGGCGTTTTTTTATCAGCCAGAAAAAAAGTCAGAGTGAAAAGAAGGATTCACACAAGGTAAAAAATAAAGATCAAATACAAATAATAATCCCAAATTAAAAATGAAGTGATGAAGTGATATAGCAACTGTTGAAACAAGATGCCACGGTAAAGCATTGATCATTTGAATGAACATAATATACATATTTGGATTGTTAAATATACTGTAGTAACAGTGTCAGCGCCACGATTACATAACCTTGTATTTCAATCAGGAGAGACGGTTTTGAGTGATGCATATTTATTGCACAGATGAACAAATGAATGTAATGGTAGTTTTGGCGATTTAGGCCCTGTTGTGCAGGAGTATCATTCAGGAGGGTAGAACAGATCCGATGAAACCCCCCTGGGGTCTAGACCCTGGTGGTGGTGAATGGATAGTTGGGGTCGGTCTGAAGAGGAGGGGTTTAGCTTGACCCTGGATTCAGAGGGACGGGAGGAGAAAGGGGGGAGGAGGGTTGTGTCGAGTCACCTGAAATGACAGCTGTCAGAGGGGGAGCAGATTAAAAAGGTTTGACAGAGCGCTATGATAGGCTCTTGGAAATAGAGCGAAGTGATTGGTTAGACTGAAGAGTGACGCCCCCTGTCACTTATTGAGAGGAGAGAGAGTAATAACGTATACATGAATGAGAAAGACGGTCTTCCTGGTTGAACTTGCGCTAAGCTTCATTAGTTATAAGTAAACGGTAACAAGGGTTATTTGTTGTCTCCTTTAACGTTACACACACAACATAAGTATTTTCCTTAGAAAGTAAGTAGCACTAGCTCTAAAGTTGTTTACTTTAAAATAGACAACAACAAATGCAGTTTCTAATATCCAGATCACTGTGGAGGAAACTGATAAATGATTCGTGGACAAAGTTTGTCCTTTGTTATATTTAATAAAGTAATAAAGAAAGTCAATATAAATCTGATCTGAAATGCAGGAACAGAGCAGCTTCACCCTCAGAGGAGAGAGAAGTTCTGCTGACGGTCTCTCTGTGAACTCACGAGAGGAAACAGCTGCTCCTACATCCCATCATTAAACCAGAAAACCCCCTCGTCCTTAACAATTTGAAAATCCACCTTTTACTTCCTTTACCTCCTGAAATGTAAATCCTTAAATGTAATGTCCTTAAATGTAAATCCTTAAATGTAATGTCTTTAAATGTAAATCCTTAAATGTAATGTCCTTAAATGTAAATCCTTAAATGTAAATCCTTAAATGTAAATCCTTAAATGTAAATCCTTAAATGTAATGTACTGTCTCTGTTAAACAGAAACAAGACTAACAATACAATTTAACAGAGTGAAAGGCAATCAGAGTATAAGACTATGTTTTAAATGATTATATGATCATTTGACACGACATGTGATTCCTCTAATGTCTGTGTGTCTTCATCCTCACAGTGGGAAGGATGGAGAGGATGGTGGTGATGAAGATGTTGGTGATGAAGAGAGAGGAACAGCACCACATGTAGAGGACAGAGGGGTACGTTTCACAGCCTCTTACTCTATTTGTAATGTCTAAATCTATCCTAATAGTATAGAACATGTTAAATTAGACACTTTACTGAGTGACGAGCAAACAGTGAGGCTGATATCAATTATATCAGCATACTCTATTACATTACATTACATTACATTGCATTTAGCTGACGCTTTTATCCAAAGCGACTTACAATAAGTACATTCGACCAGGAAGACACAACCTTGAAGAAAACAGAATCATAAAGTACATCAGGTTTCATAGAGCCAAACATTTCAAGTGCTACTCAACTGGCTTTAGATAAGCCAGTCCTTTATTAGTATAAAAGTGCTTTGTTAGTAATTCTATCGCTCGAAGTGGAGTCGAAAGAGATGAGTTTTCAGTTTGCGCCGGAAGATGTGCAAGCTATCTGCTGTCCTGATGTCAATGGGAGCTCATTCCACCATCTTGGAGCCAGGATAGCAAACCCACGTGTTTTCGCCGATGGGAACTTGGGTCCCCCTCGCAGCGAGGGCGCAACGAGTCGTTTGGCTGATGCAGAGCGTAGTGCACGTGCTGGGGTGTACGGTTTAACCATGTCCTGGATGTAGGAAGGGCCAGATCCATTCGTAGCATGGTAAGCAAGTACCAGTGTCTTGAAGTGGATTCTAGCAGTTACCGGAAGCCAGTGAAGGGAGCGGAGGAGCGGAGTGGTGTGGGAGAATTTAGGAAGGTTGAAGACCAGACGAGCCGCTGCATTCTGGATGAGCTGCAGAGGTCGGATGGCACATGCAGGTAGACCAGCCAGGAGGGAGTTGCAGTAGTCTAGGCGTGAGATGATGAGAGCCTGGACCAGAACCTGAGTCGCTTTCTGAGTCAGCTGGGGACGTATCTTCCTGATGTTGTAAAGCGTGTATCTGCAGCAACGGGTTGTAGCAGCGATGTTTGCAGTGAAGGACAGGTTGTTATCTAGGGTCACACCCAGATTCCTTGCAGTCTGAGTCGGGGAAACAACTGAGGTGCCGATGTTGATTGTTAGGTCAAGAGTGGGTCAATCTTTTCCCGGGAGGAAGAGCAGCTCAGTCTTGTCAAGGTTGAGTTTGAGGTGATGAGCAGACATCCACTGAGAGATGTCAGCTAGACAAGCAGAGATGCGTGCGACGACCTGGGTCTCTGAGCGGGGAAAGGACAGAATTAATTGGGTGTCGTCAGCGTAGCAGTGGTAAGAAAAACCATGCGGGCTAATGACTGATCCGAGCGAGTTTGTGTACAGGGAGAAGAGGAGGGGACCAAGAACAGAGCCCTGAGGGACCCCCGTAGTTAATTGACAAGGGTCGGACTCAGACCCTCTCCAAGTCACCCTGTAGGTACGGTCTTTCAGGTATGAGGTGAGGAGGGAAAGTGCAGAGCCTGAAACTCCAAGTTCTTGGAGAGTGCGAAGGAGGATCTGATGATTCACCGTGTCGAATGCAGCAGACAGGTCCAACAGGATGATGACAGAGGAGAGGGATGCAGTTTTGGCAGTGTGCAGTTCCTCAGTGACAGCAATGAGAGCAGTTTCTGTGGAGTGACCTGCCTTGAAACCAGACTGGTGCGGATCCAGAAGGTTGTTCTGATTGAGATAACAGGAGAGTTGTTTAAAGACAGCGCGTTCAAGTGATTTAGACAGGAACGGGAGGAGAGAGACAGGCCTGTAGTTTATAACATCAGACGGGTTGAGAGTGGGTTTCTTTAGGAGAGGGTTTACTCTTGCCTCCTTGAGACTGTTTGGAAAGTGACCAGAAGTTAGAGAAGTGTTGATGAAATGGGTGAGAAACGGTAGAATATCAGGAGCGATAGTCTGAAGGAGGTTTGAAGGGATAGGGTCCAGAGGACAGGTGGTAGGGCGGGCAGAGGTAATGAGGGTAAGAACCTCACTTGGAGAGAGAGGGGAAAAGGAGGTCAGTGTGTTGGTGGAAGGAAGGTCTGGTGACCCAGAGGTGAGTAAAGGTGAGTCAGAAAAAGAAGAGCGAATATCATCAACCTTTTTTTCAAAGTGGTTAACAAAGTCGCTTGACTGAAGTGAGGAGGGGGGAGGGGCTTTTGGAGGGTCCAAGAGGGTGGAGAAGATGGAAAATAGTTTTTTAGGATTGGAATAGGAAGATTGGATCTTATCTTGAAAGAAAGTGCTTTTTGCCTGAGAGATCGAAGCAGAGAAAGAGGAGAGGAGAGCTTGATAGCTTAGGAGGTCGTCACGGTGTTTGGATTTCCACCATTTCCGCTCTGCTGCCCGAAGGACGGTTCTATTAGCACGCAGTGCATCATTTAGCCAGGGAGCCGGAGGGGACTGACGAGCCTGCCGAGATGTCAGAGGACAGAGCGAGTCCAGAGTGGATGAGAGAGTAGAGAGGAGAGTTTCTGCAGCAGAGTTTGGAGGCAGTAGTTGGAACGAATCAGAGGAAGGGAGGGCTGAGAGCACCGACGAGGCAAAGGTAGAGGGAGAGAGGGAGCGAAGGTTACGGCGGACAAGTGTAGGATGGGAAGAGATTAGTTTGTTATGTTTGGAAAGGGATAGAGAGAATGAAATGAAGAAGTGATCGGATGTGTGGAGCGGGTTTACAGAGAGGTTAGAAGTAGCGCAGTTCCTTGAGAATATGAGATCAAGGACATTGCCAGCTTTATGAGTCGGTGGGGACGGAGACAGTGAGAAAGCAAAGGCGGTTAACAGAGATGTTAGTTCGTCTATCTTCCCCATCTGGAGGTTGAAGTCTCCGAGAAGTACAGCGGGAGGGCCAGTTTCAGGGATGTGTGAGAGGAGATGATCTAATTCCTCCAAGAAGGATAGATATATATCTTGCTACTGCTGATATGTGTATATTTTCTAGTTATGTTTATGACATATTTACTTGTGTGTTATGCCTGTTAACATGCTGCTGTAACAGAACAGGTACAACAAGTATATCTAATGTAGTAGTAGTAGTAGTAGTAGTAGTAGTAGTAGTAATAGTAGTGGTAGTAGTAGTAGTAGTAGTAGTAGTAGTAGTAGTAGTAGTAGTAGTAGTAGTAGTAGTAGTAGTAGTAGTAGTAGTAGTGATGGCAGCAGTTCAAAACAAGAGGCGAGAGGGTGCCTCAGGTCACTCACAATATTGTGTTTTAAAACTCTGTCCTTGTATAAGCTTTCTAGACTAGAACATTAGATTCCTGTCAATTTACTGGACAATGTTACGGCCCTTCTGACTGACTTTGTCTGAGCCTCAGTGGCGTTGCCGAATGATGCCGAAGGAGAGCACACTTTCAATAAAAGCATGATAAAACATCTTAACCATTCTGTTGCCAACATTAAAAGACAATCATTTACGTAAAATGTGATCTAATCTATTTATATTTCTCGATGAATCCCTAATGTTTGGGCATGCACTCTGTGCTATGTCCAATAATAACTACTACTTAGAGAGATGATGACTGAGTTTAATGGCTCTAGCTCATTGAAATAACCTTCTACAAACACTGCAGCTGCCTCTGAATACAGAGAAAGACCACTGTTATGAAAAATACGTACTTTCTCAAAACGTCTCACTGACTTTCTGTTTCTCATCTTAATCCTAGGAAACCCCTTCGCTGCCTCAGCCCAGAATTCCCATCCTGGTTCATCTGACAACGCCCATTCATTTCCCCTCAAGTACTCCCATAACCCTCCATCCAACGACTTCTAACGCCGTTAACGCGGCCAGACTTTTCCAGAACAAAACACTCTCCTCTGTAAACTCTGAGCCAACTGGACCTCAGGAGCAGAAAGAGATCGTTATTTCTCACGTTAGCGCCAGAACACTTCACTTTGTCAAAGTCCAGGACATCATCAGCCCTCTCCCTGAATCAAATCTTCCCCCTGAGCTCACAGCTACACACAAACCTCCTCAATCCATGAGCAAGAAAATCAAACCTCCCAGTCAAGGCAGAGGGATTAAAACTCAAACTAAGAGCTGTGAAAGCGGCCAACAACCAAAAAGGAGGAGAAAGAAGGACCTGGAAGCGGATCAAATAACATCCAGCTGTGGTTTGGAGCCTTTATTAGCTCCGAGCTCCAAACCCTGGCCCGTTATCACCATCCCTGACTCTTCCTCCACACAATCAGCAAAACCCCCGACGAATGTGGACAGGTACGTGCCAATACTCACTAGGGCTTCACCATTTGGGGAATAATCGCGATTCGATTTGCGATATTTGTTTTAAGCGACCCAACGGAAGTTTATTGTAAAATGCGGCCATATCTCCGGCTAGGAAGGTCGCATCAACGTGCTCCCGTCTCTAGCACCCCGCAGCCCGAGCTACGAGTGAAAGAACTAAACTTACATGAAACTTCCGTTGCTTTAAAGTCAAGCTTCAGTTTAAGATGCACCCTGTAATAGAAACATGTGATGGAGCATTACTGACCTGACTCAGAAAGCATCGAGAGCTCCATTGGAAGCCATTTGGAAAGGGCAGGCACTTTCAAGAATACTTGGCAGGTGATTAGATCAATCTGTCTATCACCTTCTATCATGGGCCACTTCTGATTTGTTAACAATGTCTGGTACATGTGGAGCACAGCGCTTCTGATTGGTGTGGAGGACTGACACACAAGAAGAACAACAAAAAACAACAACAAAAAATTGCAGGCTTTGCGATTTGATAATTGCATCATTTAAAATCGCGATTTCGATTTAAAATCGATGAATCGTTCAGCCCTGATACTCACCCAGAAATGCACTTTTTTAGTAGAAATGACTCTTGAACCCCACAAGTCCAAACTTCCCGGTGTAAAATGATTGAAAATTAGCAATGAATAATCGATCAGTTTTATGTACTTTTTTTATCTGGCCAAATGAACACACACAGTCTACAATGTGACAGCCACCAAAAAGAAAATAGCAAACATTTGGGGGCAGCTGTTTTCTGTCTTCATGATAAACAAACATTTTAATATACATTTTGCATCAACAAGAAGTTAGGAAAAACTTGTGTGTGTTCAATTATGGTTCTTAGAAAGATTACATCGGCAGGTCAGATTTAAAAACAATTTAGACATCTCTTAGGTAATGAATGTGAGTTAATAGTTGCATCGTGTGTGTGTGTGTGTGTGTGTGTGTGTGTGTGTGTGTGTGTGTGTGTGGGTGTGTGTGTGTGTGTGTGTGTGTGTGTGTGTGTGTGGTGTGTGTGTGTGTGTGTGTGTGTGTGTGTGTGTGTGTGTGTGTGTGTGTGTGTGTGTGTGTGTGTGTGTGTGTGTGTGTGTGTGTGTGTGTGTGTGTGTGTGTGTGTGTGTGTGTGTGTGTGTGTGGTGTGTGTGTGTGTGTGTGTGTGTGTGTGTGTGTGTGTGTGTGTGTGTGTGTGTGTGTGTGTGTGTGTGTGTGTGTGTGTGTGTGTGTGTGTGTGTGTGTGTGTGTGTGTGTGTGTGTGTGTGTGTGTGTGTGTAGTGCTGCTCCCCTGCAGAGGAACATAACTCTTCAGGCCCGGATCGTCCTCCAGCAGTGCAGCGAGGCTAAAGTTAAAATCCAACAAGCTGGTGCTCAGTGGGCGGAGGTGAGTGGAGTTATTTATCTTTGCATTATTCATTTAAATGAAATGATCTGGATTATATTTAAACGATTAGTCTGGGCTGTGAGATTTCACACTTCCTGCTCTCAGGATGATCCACGTAACACGAGTTTTCTGTTTATTGGCCTAAAAACGTCGACTCCTCGATGGATTTACTTAATATGTCGTCCACACATTCCTCGTGGTCCTCAGAGCAGCTTCTAGAGGTGGTGGATCAATAATACTGTGTGTAGTGACCACGATACCCATTTGTTTTAGTCTTTGGTCTGTGATTCACTCGTGGGCTGACCGATGAGTGCACGCTTGTTGCTGAGAGGAAAAATAAAATAAATGTCCAGATGCAACTGAAAAGTGAAATATGATTGTTTATTCTAAAAAGGCAGTGAAAAAAATATATAAATATATGTATTAAAGGAATAAAGTTTTTCAAACAAACTATTTCTCATATAAACTGATACTTGATGTTCAGCTGCAGTGTCTCCACATAAACATACGTTATTAAGTTGTTATTATTATTATTATTATTGTCAGGGAATCATTCTGTGTACATGTTTACCTTCGCCCTCCGACACAGCTGACCAACCCTTGAGCAGCCGTTACCTCCCTTAAGGAGGGTCAGAGATAGTTATTGTTGTGGGACACCTGGAACACATCCTTCTCGGGGCGTAGATGACCCCGAGCCATAAGCGACAACAAATGTGATTCAGTGTCCTCAGCTGTTAAGTCTCTCTATTGAAGAATGTTGATTATTACACTCTGAGTTAAACCCTGGAGCTACAGGAGGGTCTTCAGAATTGATTTGGTATCTCTACCGTGTGGTCAGACCGTGGCCCGGGACATGTCTTGTGAATTCTCCGGCTGAAGCTCCAAATAAACCGTCAGTGTTTGCCATCAAAGCTCCAGCTCTCCTCGTCTCTCTGAGTCCTGACTCCATCAGAGCTCCAGCTCTCCTCGTCTCTCTGAGTCCTGACTCCATCAGAGCTCCAGCTCTCCTCGTGTCTCTCTGAGTCCTGACTCCATCAGAGCTCCAGCTCTCCTCGTGTCTCTCTGAATCCTGACTCCATCAAAGCTCCAGCTCTCCTCGTGTCTCTCTGAGTCCTGACTCCATCAAAGCTCCAGCTCTCCTCGTGTCTCTCTGAGTCCTGACTCCATCAAAGCTCCAGCTCTCCTCGTGTCTCTCTGAGTCCTGACTCCATCAAAGCTCCAGCTCTCCTCGTGTCTCTGAGTCCTGACTCCATCAGAGCTCCAGCTCTCCTCGTGTCTCTCTGAGTCCTGACTCCATCAGAGCTCCAGCTCTCCTTGTGTCTCTGAGTCCTGACTCCATCAAAGCTCCAGCTCTCCTCGTGTCTCTCTCTGAGTCCTGACTCCATCAGAGCTCCAGCTCTCCTCGTGTCTCTTTGAGTCCTGACTCCATCAGAGCTCCAGCTCTCCTCGTGTCTCTCTGAGTCCTGACTCCATCAGAGCTCCAGCTCTCCTCGTGTCTCTCTGAGTCCTGACTCCATCAGAGCTCCAGCTCTCCTCGTGTCTCTCTGAGTCCTGACTCCATCAGAGCTCCAGCTCTCCTCGTCTCTCTGAGTCCTGACTCCATCAGAGCTCCAGCTCTCCTCGTGTCTCTCTGAGTCCTGACTCCATCAGAGCTCCAGCTCTCCTCGTGTCTCTCTGAGTCCTGACTCCATCAAAGCTCCAGCTCTCCTCGTGTCTCTCTGAGTCCTGACTCCATCAAAGCTCCAGCTCTCCTCATGTCTCTCTGAGTCCTGACTCCATCAAAGCTCCAGCTCTCCTCGTGTCTCTCTGAGTCCTGACTCCATCAAAGCTCCAGCTCTCCTCGTGTCTCTCTGAGTCCTGACTCCATCAGAGCTCCAGCTCTCCTCGTCTCTCTGAGTCCTGACTCCATCAGAGCTCCAGCTCTCCTCGTGTCTCTCTGAGTCCTGACTCCATCAGAGCTCCAGCTCTCCTCGTGTCTCTCTGAGTCCTGACTCCATCAAAGCTCCAGCTCTCCTCGTGTCTCTCTGAGTCCTGACTCCATCAAAGCTCCAGCTCTCCTCGTGTCTCTCTGAGTCCTGACTCCATCAGAGCTCCAGCTCTCCTCGTGTCTCTCTGAGTCCTGACTCCATCAGAGCTCCAGCTCTCCTTGTGTCTCTGAGTCCTGACTCCATCAAAGCTCCAGCTCTCCTCGTGTCTCTCTCTGAGTCCTGACTCCATCAGAGCTCCAGCTCTCCTCGTGTCTCTTTGAGTCCTGACTCCATCAGAGCTCCAGCTCTCCTCGTGTCTCTCTGAGTCCTGACTCCATCAGAGCTCCAGCTCTCCTCGTGTCTCTCTGAGTCCTGACTCCATCAGAGCTCCAGCTCTCCTCGTGTCTCTCTGAGTCCTGACTCCATCAGAGCTCCAGCTCTCCTCGTCTCTCTGAGTCCTGACTCCATCAGAGCTCCAGCTCTCCTCGTGTCTCTCTGAGTCCTGACTCCATCAGAGCTCCAGCTCTCCTCGTGTCTCTCTGAGTCCTGACTCCATCAAAGCTCCAGCTCTCCTCGTGTCTCTCTGAGTCCTGACTCCATCAAAGCTCCAGCTCTCCTCGTGTCTCTCTGAGTCCTGACTCCATCAAAGCTCCAGCTCTCCTCGTGTCTCTCTGAGTCCTGACTCCATCAAAGCTCCAGCTCTCCTCGTGTCTCTGAGTCCTGACTCCATCAGAGCTCCAGCTCTCCTCGTGTCTCTCTGAGTCCTGACTCCATCAGAGCTCCAGCTCTCCTTGTGTCTCTGAGTCCTGACTCCATCAAAGCTCCAGCTCTCCTCGTGTCTCTCTCTGAGTCCTGACTCCATCAGAGCTCCAGCTCTCCTCGTGTCTCTTTGAGTCCTGACTCCATCAGAGCTCCAGCTCTCCTCGTGTCTCTCTGAGTCCTGACTCCATCAGAGCTCCAGCTCTCCTCGTGTCTCTCTGAGTCCTGACTCCATCAGAGCTCCAGCTCTCCTCGTGTCTCTCTGAGTCCTGACTCCATCAGAGCTCCAGCTCTCCTCGTGTCTCTCTCTGAGTCCTGACTCCATCAGAGCTCCAGCTCTCCTCGTGTCTCTCTGAGTCCTGACTCCATCAGAGCTCCAGCTCTCCTCGTGTCTCTCTGAGTCCTGACTCCATCAAAGCTCCAGCTCTCCTCGTGTCTCTCTGAGTCCTGACTCCATCAGAGCTCCAGCTCTCCTCGTGTCTCTCTGAGTCCTGACTCCATGAGAGCTCCAGCTCTCCTCGTGTCTCTGAGTCCTGACTCCATCAGAGCTCCAGCTCTCCTTGTGTCTCTCTGAGTCCTGACTCCATCAGAGCTCCAGCTCTCCTCGTGTCTCTCTGAGTCCTGACTCCATCAGAGCTCCAGCTCTCCTCGTGTCTCTGAGTCCTGACTCCATCAGAGCTCCAGCTCTCCTCGTGTCTCTCTCTGAGTCCTGACTCCATCAGAGCTCCAGCTCTCCTCGTGTCTCTCTGAGTCCTGACTCCATCAGAGCTCCAGCTCTCCTTGTGTCTCTGAGTCCTGACTCCATCAGAGCTCCAGCTCTCCTCGTGTCTCTCTGAGTCCTGACTCCATCAGAGCTCCAGCTCTCCTCGTGTCTCTCTGAGTCCTGACTCCATCAAAGCTCCAGCTCTCCTCGTGTCTCTCTGAGTCCTGACTCCATCAAAGCTCCAGCTCTCCTCGTGTCTCTGAGTCCTGACTCCATCAGAGCTCCAGCTCTCCTCGTGTCTCTCTGAGTCCTGACTCCATCAAAGCTCCAGCTCTCCTCGTGTCTCTCTGAGTCCTGACTCCATCAGAGCTCCAGCTCTCCTTGTGTCTCTGAGTCCTGACTCCATCAGAGCTCCAGCTCTCCTCGTGTCTCTCTGAGTCCTGACTCCATCAGAGCTCCAGCTCTCCTCGTGTCTCTCTGAGTCCTGACTCCATCAAAGCTCCAGCTCTCCTCGTGTCTCTGAGTCCTGACTCCATCAGAGCTCCAGCTCTCCTCGTGTCTCTCTGAGTCCTGACTCCATCAGAGCATCAGCTCTCCTCGTGTCTCTCTGAGTCCTGACTCCATCAAAGCTCCAGCTCTCCTCGTGTCTCTCTTAGTCCTGACTCCATCAGAGCTCCAGCTCTCCTCGTGTCTCTCTGAGTCCTGACTCCATCAAAGCTCCAGCTCTCCTCGTGTCTCTCTGAGTCCTGACTCCATCAGAGCTCCAGCTCTCCTCCTGTCTCTCTGAGTCCTGACTCCATCAGAGCTCCAGCTCTCCTCGTGTCTCTCTGAGTCCTGACTCCATCAGAGCTCCAGCTCTCCTCCTGTCTCTCTGAGTCCTGACTCCATCAAAGCTCCAGCTCTCCTCGTGTCTCTGAGTCCTGACTCCATCAAAGCTCCAGCTCTCCTAATGAATCCTCTCTTTCCTCAGATCCAGAAAGGATTGGTGGTGTATGTTTGTTTCTTCCACGGAGCCACGGAGGATGTCACTCATGAGATGGGTGAGACGACTTTGTAACTTCACTGTGACTAATAATTATAATCTGGTTAATATTCCTCAGATTACAGATTACTTTACGGCCATCAGGTGAATGCATGTATGCAAACTGATATTTGGATGTAGTCCAGTAAAGGATAACAAGTGTGTTCTTAAGTTTGTTGCATATATTCATGCACTCAATTATTATTTAATAGATACTTGCATCCTTTCCCTTTTTTGTAACAAGTGTATTTATTATTTTAACCATATGCACAATGATTACAGAGAATCACATGTTGGCAATGACAGTTTTATTTCCTCTTGTTCTGTCATCTCCTCCAAAGCCAGAAGTCTGATGACCACTACATTTTTCCGTAAAGACTCCGGACACTCGGTTTCCGTGCTGGATTTCCCCGGGAGCGTTTTGTTTATCCACCAGGACTCCCTGCTGGGGGAGGGTTTGCCCAAAAGGAGGAGGGAGAGCAGAGGGGGGGGGCAGCTCTTCTCCACCCTAATATCTAAATGCAGGGAGAAAATGGCCGCCTCGGAGAAATGTAGGAAAGCCGGAGTGAAAGTGGAACACGGAGAATACGGAAAGAAACAGGAAGTCAGTCTGAAGTCTGCAGAACCAATGACTCTACTGATGGAGTTCTGAGGGGGTAGAAACAAACACTGTGTAAATAAAGGATTGAATCATAGACTGTATGTCTCGTGGCTTCCTTCCTTGTTCTTCTATCAAGCCACTAGAGGCCTTAACCCTTGTGTGGTGTTTGGGTCAAATTGACCCGATTTCCATTTTCAATGAATACAAAAAAATATAAGGATATTTTCGTTCAACCTGAAACTCAATGGCTTATTTATAGTGAAGGACATGTGGACCCACCCGCATTTATGTCCTTCATAAGAGGTTCGGGTCAATCTGACCCGGATACAATACCAGGACAGAGAGACAGAGAAAAACACACAGAAACACACAAACTAAAGACACACACACACACACACAATCGTATGCACACACACACACACACACACACACACACACACACACACACACACACACACACACACACACACACACACACACACACACACACACACACACACAATCGTATGCACAGAGAAGCTGTTTGATCCTATTTTCCCTTGATCTTTACCCTTTGTAGTGTGTACACAAAACTATCCTAGAACATTATAAACATTTTAGATCTTCCAGAAATGTATAAACATTTTACATTTTCTCGCACTGTCCCCTCTCGCACCTGCACGCCGGAGGAGGGACTAAACAGAGACATAACCTCAGTGTAGTAACAGTGTAGTGCAGAACTACAATTATCTACCAGCAAAGTGGACAAAAGATATTCTGCTCAGAGCCTTGGAGCTAATACTGGATGAGAGTGAGTGGAATGCATTAGAAGAACACGGTGAAGTGGGACAGGAAGACATTTCTGAAGATCAGGATAATGTGGAGGTAAACTCAGAATTTGACAGCAAATTGGAAGATGAACTTGACTCATAACCAGCTGCTGGAAGACCCCCACAGCCAGCTGCTGGAAGACCCCCACAGCCAGCTGCTGGAAGACCCCCACAGCCAGCTGCTGGAAGACCCCCACAGCCAGCTTCTGGAAGACCCCCACAGCCAGCTGTGAGGTCTGTGGACCCTCAAAGGACTCCAAGACACAGACTACATGCAGCAACTGCAACAAGTACATCTGTGCTATACACAGGAAGAAGTTCTGTCCATCATGTGTTTCCTAAACGGACCTGCATTGATCACATCATGTGTTTCCTAAACGGACCTGCATTGATCACATGATGTTCCGTCACTTCTTCAATATAGTTTTCGGATATACTGTATTTTATGAATAGTGACTGTTAATTGTTTTAATTTGCTTTGTGTTTATATCTGTATGTCATTTATATGGATGTTTCATTCCCTCTATATTTCACAGCCAAATACTTTTGGATGTGGTTCTTGTTCCAATTGCTGCTAAATGGCTTTATTTCCTTCAGGGCTTTGATTATTATATGACAGATTAAAAATAATAAACATTAATGAAAACATTTTTCACCTCTCTGAAGAACCAGCACCTTACCGTGGTAGAGAGGTTTGTGTGCCCTGATGAACCTGGGGGCTGTGTTGTCTGGAACCTTGTGTTCCTGGTAGGGTCTCCCATGGCAAATTGGTCTCAGGCAAGGGGCCAGACTAAGATTGGTTCAAAAGACCTCATGAAAGAAAAACTAAGAAGTGAGGATACCCGGCCCGGAGGAAGCCCGGGGTCCCCTTCTGGAGCCAGGCCCAGAAGGAGGACTCGTCGGCGAGCGTCTGGTGGCCGGGCTTGCCACGGAGCCCGGCCGGGCCCAGCCCGAAAAGGCAACGTGGGCAACACCTCCGCTTCTCCGTCCCGCGGGCCCACCACCTACGGGAAACATCGATGGGGTCGGGTGCGCTGCCAGAAGGGTGGCAGTGAAAGCGGAGGGTCTCGACGGACCAGACCCGGGCGACAGAAGCTGGCTTTGGGGACGTGGAACGTCACCTCTCTGGGGGGGAAGGAGCCGGAGCTTGTGCGGGAGGTGGAGCGTTACCAGTTGGATCTGGTTGGGCTCACCTCTACGCACAGCGTCGGCTCTGGAACCTTACTTCTGGATAGGGGTTGGACTCTATTCTTCTCCGGAGTTGCTCAAGGTGTGAGGCGCCGGGCGGGTGTGGGGATACTCACAAGTCCCCGGTTAGGTGCTTCGTTGTTGGAGTTTACCCCAGTGGACGAGAGGGTCGCCTCCCTACGCCTGCGGGTTATGGGGGGGAAAACTCTGACTGTTGTGTGTGCTTATGCACCCAACAGCAGTTCAGAGTATACGGCCTTCTTGGAGACCCTGGAAAGAGTCCTGTATGGTAGAGATGTTAAGATTCACCGATTCGCATCGGTGCACCGGCATAAACGTTCAAGATGCGAGTGCACCGGTTGAAAGAGTGCACATCGGCTACAGTTTGGGTTGAACCGGGTTGAACTCGCGATGCATCGATTGCGTAGCGTCTTTGCATCGGTAAAAAACCGATTAATTCATATAAAATCCCCTAATCTTGTCAACGCTCAGCAGAGACGATCTTTGATATTTGCTTCGCCACTACGGAGGCAGAGAGTCTCAGTTATCAAACACACACGGAAGTCGAGGAGAAAGAGAAACACAGCGCACCGAAAAATACCTACAAATCAAACGTTTGGTAACACTTCGGATTGTTCAAGAAAGACGGTGTAATAGTCCTTTATGCTAGGCTATATAGTTGACCGCAGGTCATGGAGAGTAATAAGGTATCCGTAGACTTTTGTATGAGGTATCTTTATTACTTAACAGGTCTACAGCCATGATACATAGATCCGTCCTAGACGCGGGCTTGCATACACACAGTATCACTCCGCAGCCGCACCCCATCAGTAACGTCCTGATGGTATATGTGCGCGGCACAGACGGTCAACTTGAAAAATCGCTCGCAAATTGTTAACGATGCCGAGCCGATTTAAAGTACACAAGTAGTACGAGGAACTTAGCGACGCACATAAAGAGGCGACATGGGGTCTGCGGCTGAAAAGAGAAACCTCAAAGTTAGACATATGAGTTAAATCACTCAGTGAGGTGTTCTGTCAGAGAGAGTGGTGTTTAGTTTACAGCAGCCTGTGACGGCCAATAATAATTTAAATGTATTCCTCACTGTAAGCAGTTATGAAATACCTGTTTGTGAAAGGTTATTTGTATTATTTATTGTTCATATAGAACCCACTGCTTTCTGCTCACTGGTGAGTTAGCCTATGAATGAGTGTTAAGCACATCAGGCTGGCAGCTGTATGGGCATTGCTCTATGGTAGCTGTTATTTGCACATTGTTAATCATGAGCAATGCATCCTTACATTGTTTAACTGTGAGGTGTTATACAATTGTACTCTGGAGAGCTTTTAAAGGTAAAAAAATAAACGGCATGATGGGATGTGCAGTACCAAATATGTAAAGCACTTTTTTGTTAATGTATGATTTGCTGCATATAAGGAATAAAACAAAAATCCTCTGTCGTACCAAATTGAAGTATCATTATTTTTGCATCGTGTTGAATCGCATCGTATCGCACCGAATCGCATAATGTTGAATCAAATCGTATCGAACTGTATCGCAACAGGGGTGAATCGTATCGTATCGCATCGCCTGGTGTTTCAAATGTATCGTTAATGTATCGTATCGTGGCAACATATCGAGATGCGCATCGCATCGGCCTCAGTGATGGAGATGCACATCCCTACTGTATGGGGCTCCTGAAGGGGACTCTTTAATCTTGCTGGGAGACTTCAACGCACATGTGGGCAATGATGGAGACACTTGGAGGGGCGTGATTGGGAGGAACGGCCCCCCTGATCTGAACCGGAGTGGTGGTTTGTTACTGGACTTCTGTGCTAGTCATGGATTGGCCATAACAAACACCATGTTCGAACATAAGGATGCCCATAAGTGTACGTGGTACCAGAGCACCCTAGGCAGAAGGTCCATGATCGATTTCGTTATCGTATCATCGGACCTGAGGCCGTATGTTTTGGACACTCGGGTAAAGAGAGGGGCGGAGTTGTCAACTGATCACCATCTGGTGGTGAGTTGGGTCGAGTGGCGGGGGAAGCCTCTGGATAGACCTGGTAAGCCCAAACGTGTAGTTCGGGTGAACTGGGAACGTCTGGAGGAGGCCCAAGTTCAGGAGGCCTTCAACTCACACCTCCGGCGGAGCTTTTCGGGCATTCCTGTGGAGGTTGGGGACATTGAACCAGAGTGGTCGGTGTTCAAAGCCTCTATTGCCGAAGCCGCGGCGGGGAGCTGTGGTCTCAAGGTCCTAGGTGCCTCAAGGGGCGGTAACCCTCGAACCTCCTGGTGGACACCGGTGGTCAGGGAAGCCGTCCGACTGAAGAAGGAGGCCTTCAGGGATTTGTTATCCCGGGGACTCCCGAGGCAGTTGCAAGGTACCGACAGGCCCGAAGGGCAGCAGCCTCATCCGTGGCCGAGGCAAAGCAGCGGGTGTGGGAGAAGTTCGGAGAAGACATGGAGAAGGACTTTCGGGCGGCACCAAAGTTGTTCTGGAAAACTGTCCGACACCTCAGGAGGGGGAAGCAGGGAACCATCCAAGCTGTGTACAGTAAGGATGGGACGTTGTTGACCTCAACTGATTGGAGTGTTAGGGAGTTGGAAGGAACACTTTGAGGAACTCCTGAACCCGACAACTCCGTCCCTCTATGTTAGAGGCAGAGCTGGAGTATGACGGGGGATCAACACCAATCTCCCGGGGGGAGGTCACTGAGGTCGTCAAGCAACTCCACAGTGGCAAGGCCCCGGGGGTGGATGAGATCCGCCCGGAAATGCTGAAGGCTCTGGGTGTTGAGGGACTGTCATGGTTGACACGTCTCATCAACGTTGCGTGGAAGTCGGAAACAGTACCGAAGGAGTGGCAGACCGGGGTGGTGGTCCCCCTTTTTAAAAAGGGGGATCAGAGGGTGTGTGCCAATTACAGAGGCATCACACTACTCAGCCTCCCCGGGAAAGTTTACTCTAAGGTACTCGAAAGGAGGGTCAGGCCGATTGTCGAACCTCAGATTGAGGAGGAACAATGCGGATTCCGTCCTGGTCGTGGAACGACGGATCAGCTTTTTACTCTCGCAAGGATCCTGGAGGGGGCCTGGGAG